CAGCCTCCAGCCGTACCTCGACAATCTGCATTTTTCTCTAAGAGGAATTCAAATATTTTAAGAGGAATTAAAATATTTGAGGCAGACACTGAGCAGATTTTATTCATCTTTCTCTGTGTGTGTGTGTGTGTGGGGGGGGGGGGGGGGTCCTTTGGAAGTTTGCTGGTTTTGTTTTAGTTTGGCTGCAGACTGGGACTGAATAATCAGCTTATCTTCTCAGAAATGTTCCTGCCAAATTTCTGTGATTGCATCTCCAGTAATCTGCATCACGATGCTTCAGTCAACATCGATTACTGGGAGCGTTTGTTTGCAAACGGAACCAGAGGGAATTATTAAAGCTGCTCATCATAAAGGAACATTTTCCTGCCTGGATGATGATCTGTAAACACGCAGCGTCCATGATGGCGTTCTTCTACCCGGAAGTAACGATCGATGCACCTCTTTCAGATCTACAGTGATCATAGCAGCAGCTTTAGTGCCCCCCCCCTCCTCACACAACGAGTGGGTTTCTATCGACCCTCTCATCGCCCTCGCACGCAGACTCACACGCACGGCTGCTTCCTGCCTGGCGGCGGCCCAGAGCTGCGTGTGAGGAGAGCACCCGCCATGAGGAAAGATGGAGGGAGGAAGAAAGGAAACCCGAACGAAGGAACGAAGCTGCAGCGCTTCAGGGGGGCGCCGATCAATACTCACCCACATCCAGCCCTCCCACTCAGCCGCTGCTGCTGCGCCTCCTTCCTGACCTCCGCCTCCGACATGGAACAAAAGTTTCTCCTTGTTTTCCACAGAGTTTCCAACATGTTTGTTTAAAAGCTTTTGGTTAGAACTGGACCATATAGAAAAAAACATTCATGTCCATCATGTCCACCGTGTCCATCATGTCCACCGTGTCCATCATGTCCACCGTGTCCATCATGTCCACCATGTCCATCATGTCCACCGTGTCCATCATGTCCACCATGTCCATCATGTCCACCGTGTCCATCATGTCCACCGTGTCCATCATGTCCACCATGTCCCTGGAGAAGGTTTTGCTCCATCCAGGTGGCGACTGCTAATGGGTTCCTTAGTGATCCAGACCTTTTTTATTTTTAGACATTTTTTGCTAAATATTTTTAACTGTGAATCTTTAAACAATTTGAGCTCAGAAACAGGCTGATGCTTTGCTGCCTGACGCCTGGAAGGAGGAGAAACTGATCCAGATGTGGTCCAGCTCTATGTCCTGCAGCTCTATGTCCTGCAGCTCTATGTCCTGCAGCTCAGTGTCTAATCAGCAGAGCAGAGGAGCTGAGCTGCTGATCAGACCAGCATCCTGCCTTCCTCTCCTCACCTGCTTGGAGTCTGACTGTCGGTTCTAATGTTTCTCAGATCAGAACCGTCGGTTCTAATGGTTCTCAGATCAGAACCGTCGGTTCTAATGGTTCTCAGATTCGAGGTCTCTCAGGTTGGTCCTCTGAAATGCCCCCCCCAACCTGTATCTGACTGCCTGCCTTTAGATAGCACATCTTCACTCAGCGGCCACTTTATTAGGGACACCTGCCAATGTCCTTGTTAACGCTCATTTCTAATCAGCCAATCACACTGCAGCACTCAGTGATTCGAGGCTTGTAGTCATGGTTACATGATGGAGGCGACCTTGAAGGTGGATGGCGGGATGTCCAGATTCATAGAGAAACGCTACAATAAACAACGTATCCAGTGAGCAGCAGCTCTGAGGGTCCAACTCGGTTCACAAGGTGTTCCTGCAGGAGCTGCTGGGGGGGGGGGGACCAGGAGGTTCTGTTTGAGTGGAGGAGAACCAGGAGGTTCTGTCTGAGAGGAGGAGACCCAGGAGGTTCTGTCTGAGAGGAGGAGACCCAGGAGGTTCTGTCTGAGAGGAGGAGAACCAGGAGGTTCTGTCTGAGAGGAGGAGACCCAAGAGGTTCTGTCTGAGAGGAGGAGAACCAGGAGGTTCTGTCTGAGAGGAGGAGAACCAGGAGGTTCTGTCTGAGAGGAGGAGAACCAGGAGGTTCTGTCTGAGAGGAGGAGACCCAGGAGGTTCTGTCTGAGAGGAGGAGAACCAGGAGGTTCTGTCTGAGAGGAGGAGACCCAGGAGGTTCTGTCTGAGAGGAGGAGAACCAGGAGGTTCTGTCTGAGAGGAGGAGAACCAGGAGGTTCTGTCTGAGAGGAGGAGACCCAAGAGGTTCTGTCTGAGAGGAGGAGAACCAGGAGGTTCTGTCTGAGAGGAGGAGAACCAGGAGGTTCTGTCTGAGAGGAGGAGAACCAAGAGGTTCTGTCTGAGAGGAGGAGAACCAGGAGGTTCTGTCTGAGAGGAGGAGAACCAAGAGGTTCTGTCTGAGAGGAGGAGAACCAGGAGGTTCTGTCTGAGAGGAGGAGAACCAAGAGGTTCTGTCTGAGAGGAGGAGAACCAGGAGGTTCTGTCTGAGAGGAGGAGAACCAAGAGGTTCTGTCTGAGAGGAGGAGAACCAGGAGGTTCTGTCTGAGAGGAGGAGAACCAGGAGGTTCTGTCTGAGAGGAGGAGACAGAACCTCCTGTTGGCGGTTGGTTCCAGCAGAGTTGTTTTCTCCTCCTCACTGTTTCTCCTCTCCTCTCCTCCTCTATCAGGGTTATTAATATTAATGGAACGGGTGGAATGTTGCCTTTGGAAGCTCTTCATCATGATGGGAGTCAGAGCGACACGCACTGCCTGCTTCATTTGCCCTGATTGGTTCTGGTCTCTGACTGGTACTGGTCCCTGATTGGGTCTGGTCCCTGATTGGGTCTGGTCCCTGACTGGTTCTGGTCCCTGATTGGTTCTGGTCCCTGATTGGTTCTGGTCCCTGACTGGTTCTGGTCCCTGATTGGTTCTGGTCCCTGATTGGTTCTGGTCCCTGACTGGTTCTGGTCCCTGATTGGGTCTGGTCCCTGACTGGTTCTGGTCCCTGACTGGTTCTGGTCCCTGACTGGGTCTGGTCCTTGATTGGTTCTGGTCCCTGACTGGTTCTGGTCCCTGATTGGGTCTGGTCCCTGACTGGTTCTGGTCCCTGACTGGTTCTGGTCCCTGACTGGTTCTGGTCCCTGACTGGGTCTGGTCCTTGATTGGTTCTGGTCCCTGAATGGTTCTGGTCCCTGATTGGGTCGATGTTCCTTTAAAGATGGTGGTATCTCTGAGGACCTTCTCTGCTCATTCTTCAGTGTTTCCATGTTATCTTCATGCTGCAGGCTGCTGCGGGTCTGGTCTCTGACTGGCTCTGGTCCCTGAATGGTTCTGGTCCTTGACTGGTTCTGGTCCCTGATTGGTTCTGGTCCCTGACTGGGTCTGTTCTCTGACTGGTTCTGGTCCCTGAATGGTTCTGGTCCTTGACTGGTTCTGGTCCCTGATTGGGTCTGGTCCCTGACTGGTTCTGGTCCCTGACTGGTTCTGGTCCCTGACTGGGTCTGTTCTCTGACTGGTTCTGGTCCCTGACTGGTTCTGGTCCTTGACTGGGTCTGGTCCTTGATTGGTTCTGGTCCCTGAATGGTTCTGGTCCCTGACTGGTTCTGGTCCCTGACTGGGTCTGTTCTCTGACTGGTTCTGGTCCCTGACTGGTTCTGGTCCCTGACTGGGTCTGGTCCTTGATTGGTTCTGGTCCCTGAATGGTTCTGGTCCCTGACTGGTTCTGGTCCCTGACTGGTTCTGGTCCCTGACTGGGTCTGGTCCCTGATTGGTTCTGGTCCCTGATTGGTTCTGGTCCCTGATTGGTTCTGGTCCCTGACTGGTTCTGGTCCCTGACTGGGTCTGTTCTCTGACTGGTTCTGGTCCCTGACTGGGTCTGGTCTCTGACTGGTTCTAGTCCCTGAATGGTTCTGGTCCTTGACTGGTTCTGGTCCCTGATTGGGTCTGGTCCCTGACTGGTTCTGGTCCCTGACTGGTTCTGGTCCCTGACTGGGTCTGTTCTCTGACTGGTTCTGGTCCCTGACTGGGTCTGGTCTCTGACTTGTTCTAGTCCCTGAATGGTTCTGGTCCTTGACTGGTTCTGGTCCCTGATTGGGTCTGGTCCCTGACTGGTTCTGGTCCCTGACTGGTTCTGGTCCCTGACTGGGTCTGGTCCTTGATTGGTTCTGGTCCCTGAATGGTTCTGGTCCCTGACTGGTTCTGGTCCCTGACTGGGTCTGTTCTCTGACTGGTTCTGGTCCCTGACTGGTTCTGGTCCCTGACTGGGTCTGGTCCTTGATTGGTTCTGGTCCCTGAATGGTTCTGGTCCCTGACTGGTTCTGGTCCCTGACTGGGTCTGGTCCTTGATTGGTTCTGGTCCCTGAATGGTTCTGGTCTCTGACTGGTTCTAGTCCCTGAATGGGTCTGGTCCCTGACTGGGTCTGGTCCTTGATTGGTTCTGGTCCCTGACTGGTTCTGGTCCCTGACTGGGTCTGTTCTCTGACTGGTTCTGGTCCCTGACTGGTTCTGGTCCCTGACTGGGTCTGGTCCTTGATTGGTTCTGGTCCCTGAATGGTTCTGGTCTCTGACTGGTTCTAGTCCCTGAATGGGTCTGGTCCCTGACTGGGTCTGGTCCTTGATTGGTTCTGGTCCCTGACTGGTTCTGGTCCCTGACTGGGTCTGTTCTCTGACTGGTTCTGGTCCCTGACTGGTTCTGTTCTCTGACTGGTTCTGGTCCCTGACTGGTTCTGGTCCCTGACTGGTTCTGTTCTCTGACTGGGTCTGGTCCCTGACTGGTTCTGGTCCCTGACTGGTTCTGGTCCCTGACTGGTTCTGGTCCCTGATTGGGTCGATGTTCCTTTAAAGATGGTGGTATCTCTGAGGACCTTCTCTGCTCATTCTTCAGTGTTTCCATGTTATCTTCATGCTGCAGGCTGCTGCGGGTGTGGTCCTTGACTGGTTCTGGTCCTTGACTGGTTCTGGTCCCTGACTGGTTCTGGTCGTCTGCCGTCTGCTGCGGGTCTGGGTGGCAGTAGGATGGATGGTTTTGCTCTGTGATGCTCTAATGTTCAGGAAGCGTTTCTGATGCAGTGTGTTCTGTTCGCAGCGTGCCCCCCCGGATCCTACAAGATGTCTTCCAGACAGCAGGAGTGTTTTCCTTGTCCTGCCAATAGCGTGGCGGAGGAGGAAGGATCTGTGGTGTGTGTGTGCGAAGAAGACCACTTCCGGACTCCTCTGGACAGCCCCTCTGCCCCCTGCACACGTAAGGACATCACAATCTATATGTGCTGATCTATATAGATCCATGTCGTCATCCAGGTTGATGGTTCTGGTTGTACATTTATCTCAGCTGATTCCATTTTTTCCTCAAAGATCCATTGACCCGTCCTTCACCCCCTGTCCTCTTCTCCTCCTCTCCTCCTCCTCCTCCTCCTCCTCCTCCTCTCTTCTTCACCTCAGCCATTACTCCCTCATCTTCCTCAGCTCTATATCTGATTTATTGCGTCCTCTACCTCTCCTTCACCTCTCCTCATTTTGAAGTGTGAGTAGATCCAAACCATCGGGTCTGAGCAGCGCCGACCCAATCAGGAATCAGTCAGAAAGAGACAAAGAAACACATGAAGATCTGCAGCTCAGGATGTGACTCCATCTCCTCCATCCAGTTCAGGGACACCTCCTCTTCCCCGTGTCCAGCGCTGAGAACCCAGTGATGGATGGCAGCCCAACCGTTTGCTTTCATGGATCAAAGGAAAGAGAAAACAAAGAAACAAAAACAATAACCCCAGGAAGGGGGCGTGTCCTACAGACACCCAGTTATTACATCACCTATGAAGATTATTGAATGTTATGCAGAGCTGAGTGGATCTGTAGCTGCAGCTTAGTGATTCATGTTTCTCTGAACCCCAGAATCCAAACACCTGATCTTTATGCGCATAAGTCTCCTTGTTTAGAAATAGTTTAGAAGGAGAATATGCTCAATAGCAGGCGTGAGTGGCCCCAGACTCACCCTGCAGAGCCCAGGACCGACACAAAGGCTGCACAGGGCAAGACTCACCCTGCAGAGCCCAGGACCGACACAAAGGCTGCAACAGGGCCAGACTCACCCTGCAGAGCCCAGGACCGACACAAAGGCTGCAACAGGGCCAGACTCACCCTGCAGACCGACACAAAGGCTGCAACAGGGCCAGACTCACCTTGCAGACCGACACAAAGGCTGCAACAGGGCCAGACTCACCTTGCAGACCGACACAAAGGCTGCAACAGGGCCAGACTCACCTTGCTAGGGTGCAAAGGGGATGCATCCCAGGATGGGTGGTAAAGGACTGGTCTTCTCCCAGGGAGCGTGCTCAGATGACCCAGATCAGGTTTTAAAAGGATGACAAGTAGCGAAACACCAATAATGAAATACTAGAAATCTAACAGCTGCAGAACAAAAACCATCAATTCTCAGAACAGAAGACCCACTTTTTGAAGCAGATAGGAAGTAAGATTTCTTAAAAACATTTATTATGAAGCGGATCTGCAGGGTTGGGGTTAGGGCGACAGTTCAGTCCATCGTCAGAGGGCAAGGTAGGATCCAGCCGGTAGGATCCAGCCGGTAGGATCCAGCCGGTAGGATCCAGCCGGTAGGATCCAGCCGGTAGGAACCAGCCGGTAGGATCCAGCCGGTAGGATCCAGCCGGTAGGATCCAGCCGGGGGGCTGCCAGCGAGATGCGGCGGGCGCCGCCCACATTCTTCCAGACGCTGCAGCCCCGGAGAACATGCGGGAGTCAGAACCAGGTCAGGGAAAAAGATCCGAACAGGAAGCCTCAGAGTTTGTTTCCATGTCTGAAACGTCTTCCAGTCCAGTGGATGTTTTTGAACTTTCTGGAATGACTGACCTGGATGACTGGGAATCTTCACCAGAATAATAGACAGGCAGCAACTGGGAAGGGTTGTTTCTTTTAAGGAAGTTTTTACAAAATCCTTAGAGCCCTTCTAAACTCTGTATTCCCCTTCGGAACACATTTTTTCATTGTACCTTAAGGGAAAAGACTTAAAAAAAACACAAACCATCAATTATCAGGAATTACTTCTCTTCCGCCATCTTTTTTCATTTTTCCTCAAGGGAATAAATACAGGAAAGAATAAACCTGAATCCCCTTAGCTAACCTTTTTTTTCCTTAAGGGAATAAAATCCTTCGGCTCTACTGGTTTCATCTTTCCTTAAGGGAAAGACAATAAAGGTACAAACCTAAAATTAGCCAGAAGTTTCAGAAAGCCATCTTTCGTGTCCGCAGGCAGACAGGGAATAAAACTACTTCTCTTTCCGTTCTCCAATCAACTGCTCGCATAGAACCCAGCCCACATTTACCTCTTCAGACGGTCTACACGTTCGCAAGAAGAAGAAAAATCCACTCTGATCCACTCAGGTGGAGCATCTGAGCAAAATGTTTGAGTTTAACAGAGAAACGTCTCCATGATTCAGTGAAAGCCGACTTGGCGAGCAGTGATGGACGGCGGTGGCAGAGATACGTTTGGTTTCTATGGCCCTAAATAAGCTTTTATGATGTTTTAAAGTTTATTCTTGAGACCAGAAGGAAACTGACTTCCTGTGAGCGGAGATTTTCCTGAGCTGCAGCTTCTAGTATCTCCTGCTCCATCACCAAACAGCAGAAACACATTTTTCTCCTGACTTTTGGTTCCTTTGAAACATCTAAGAACATCGAAGTTGGTCTTAGGAAATAAAATCTGGTTATGATTTTGGATCTAAAGCCAAATAGATCATAAAACAGACAGAACCTCAGAGAAGTTTTCCATATCTGCCTTTAAAATGAAGGATTATATGAAGGGAAATGATTCTGATGACTTTAAGGACGCAACAGAACCTTCTGGTTCACAGGAAAAACCAGCAGAAAGAAGCAAGTGGATCAGAAGATCTGAATGGGAGACCCGATGGACAGGCACCGAGGACAAGTGTCCTCCAGTCCAGCAGATAAGAAACATGTTGGATCAGAAAGTTTCCTGCAGTTCTTCTTCCCTCTTCCTGTCAGCAGCTGCATACCTTTATTCCTGCGGGACGGTGGAGGACGCATCCCTGCTGCAGATGATCCAGCCAAGCACACAGCAGCCAAAGAGGACAGGGGGACAGAGTCCACAGAAGTCCTGTCATCCAGTCCAGCCAGGAAGTGTTTCCCTCTGACAGCCCATAAATGGGAACGCCCAGACTGCACAGGCTCAGTGCGTTTGGGCTCTCCAGTTCTGTCAGGCTGGTAAAGGTTCTGCTCCCAGTAACCACAGTCAGAGATGGAGGCTGAAGACCAGGTGTTCCTAAAGCTTCCAGGGTCCAGATCTGCTCAGTGGAGCAGGACGCCATCAGAGTCTGAGAGGAAACATCTAACGGTTGGAAAGCGAATCAAATGATTCCGGCTGCTCTGGTTCTACGTTCTTCAGATGTTCTTCAAACATGTTAGTGTTTGATTGTTATTGTCTGAGGTGTTCCTGCACAGATCATCTCCTTCCTGGAGAAGGAGGAGCTCTGATAATTCTGTGTTTGTTCATCCAGTTTAACTCCATCAGAACTTTCTTCACCCAGATGTTGTGGATGTTGACATCTGATCTCCTGCAGAGGTCCATCCTACTGCGGCTCCATCTGATGCGGATCAGGGTTGTTCTTTATCTTTATGTTTATTTTCAGGGTGCTTCTGCAGCTCCACCTCAGACTGTGGGCTGAGGTGATGGAGCTGAGGTGATGGAGCAAGCGGTGCTGCTGAGACGTTACATCCAATCATAGCTCAGCTCTCAGAAGGTGAAAGAACTAACGCCGACCTCTGTCCTCCTGCAGGGCCACCCTCCCCACCCAGAGACCTGGTGTTCTCCCTCAGGCAGTCCTCCCTGGTCCTGGACTGGGCCCCGCCCTCGGACGCCGGGGGCCGCGTGGACCTGACCTACAGCGTGGGCTGCCAGCGCTGCGTGGCGGCGCGCTGCGAGCCCTGCGGGCCCAGCGTGGGCTTCGTTCCTCAGCAGGTGGGCCTGATGGAGCGGACGGTGACGGTGGTCAACCTGCTGCCCAACGCCAACTACTCCTTCACGGTGGAGGCGCTGAACGGCGTGTCGGAGCTGCTGCCCAGCAAAAGGTTCTACACCCAGGTCAACGTGTCCACTAGTCAGCCCGGTGAGTCCCTGTTCAGCCAGGAACCAGAACCAAACAGGTTCCTCCAAAAGGAGGAAACCAGGAAGCACAGCAGAGGTTCTGATTAGGAGTCCAGTACCGACAGTTTGGACTTCTGTCAGAATTCCTGCAGAATATTCAGACTCTCTGAGAACAGTTCTGCAGGAATGGAGTCACTGGACTTCCATTGTTCCATTATTTCCTTCCTTATTTCCTGTCAAATCTTCCATTATTTCCTTCCTCATTTCCTGTCACATCTTCCATTATTTCCTTCTTCATTTCCTGTCAAATCTTCCATTATTTCCTTCCTCATTTCCCATTACATCTTCCATTATTTCCTTCTTCATTTCCTGTCAAATCTTCCATTATTTCCTTCCTCATTTCCTTTCAAATCTTCCATTAGTTCCTTCCTCATTTCTAGTCAAATCTTACATTATTTACTTCCTCATTTCCTGTTACATCTTCCATTATTTACTTCCTCATTTCCTGTTACATCTTCCATTATTTCCTTTCCGCATTTCCCGTTACATCTTCCATTATTTTCTTCCTCATTTTCCATTACATCTTCCATTATGTCCTTCTTCATTTCCTATCAAATCTTCCATTATGTCCTTCCTCATTTCCTGTCAAATCTTCCATTATTTCCTTCCTCATTTCCTGTCAAATCTTCCATTATTTACTTCCTCATTTCCTGTCAAATCTTCCATTATTTCCTTTCTCATTTCTAGTCAAATCTTACATTATTTACTTCCTCATTTCCCGTCACATCTTCCATTATTTCCTTCCTCATTTCCTGTCAAATCTTCCATTATTTAATTCCTCATTTCCCGTCACATCTTCCAATATTTCCTTCCTCATTTCCTGTCAATCTTCCAATATTTCCTTCCTCATTTCCTGTCAATCTTCCAATATTTCCTTCCTCACAGCTTCTCTCTGTTTCTCACCATCATATTCTTAAAGAATCATTTCTCTCGTCTCGTCCAGCAGGTTGTTTTTCTTCCCTCCAATCCTGTTAGTTGTGCTTGGGTGTATTTCTAAGGGATCTTTTCTAAACACATTGATTCACTAGGGTCACTTCCAATCCACAGAGTTCTGGTCCCCGCCTTACATCCAGCAGGGTGCATAAAGCAAGCGGAGTTCTTTCCATCGTTAATAGAGGAAGTGGTTCCTCCATTTCAGACCAGCTTTTATCAGGAGCTTCCAGGCCACCGGGGGAAGAGGGGAGATTTTCCACGGTGGGAATGTGAAAAGGAACAGGGGATCGGTTCGGCATTAAGCTCCTGGGGCAGCCGGGGATTAGTGATGCATGAGTAGAGGCACGCTCCAAACACGCTCAGTCCCCCCGCCACCCCCACCCCTCCCCCCCAAAGGAAAGGGCTGCTGGAGGTGGAGGTTAGGATTACTGATGGAGCCTCTGGGTGTTTAAACCCGGGAACAGGAAACCTTCTGCCCAAACGCTCAGATTAGGAGGAACATCAGATTTCTGTCAGCAGGTCCTGACCTCCGTCCTCATGGAGGAACTGCAGCTGAGCTCCAGTCAGACGCTCCAACCTTCAGATGGGAAAGCTGCAGACGTCGAGGTCCTCCTGCTCTGCTGTCTTTCATCTGGTTCTCCTGTAACAAGGAGGTGGAGAACCTCCAGGTTCTGCTTCTCATCTCTTGGATCAGTCTGATTCTGGAGGAGCACCCGAGGTTCTGGGAGACAGTCCATCCAACCCTCCCTCCTCTGGAGAACAGAGGCTAAGCTTTAGATCTGCTGCCTTCAGGAGAAACCTTCTGACTTTAGCTGAGAAGCTCCAAACATTCTGACCCCTCCAGACCTCCAGGCAGCAGGTTGAGGATTCCACCTCTGAGGAGGTTGGAGGTCTAAGACATTAATTGATTGGACCAAAGGTTCCAAGATCCAGATCCAGATTGATCTGATTCAGAACCAGACATCTGGATTCTTCACCAGTGTGGAGCAGACCAGTCCAGGAGCTGCTCCTCCTCTTCCTCACTCTGGGATCTGGAAGGTGGTTTCCATCGCCCAGGAGATCTCAGGAGATCCTTTTCTCCATCACAGAGGAGGAGATGTTCAACCATGATCCACCTCCTACCATCACAGAGCTGGTTCCTGGATGCTCCAACAAACACCTGAAGATCTGATCCATCGGATCCATGATGGCCATCCCAGAACATCCGAGCCCGGAGAACTGACTGCTCCTCTGAGGAGAACACCAGGCTTCTCTCCTTCATGGAGATCCACGCTGTGAGATGTTCTTCCAGCTGGTGGTGGATGATGGTTCTGGAAGCAGAGCTGTCTGAAGCAGCAGAGATCGCTGATGTTCCTCCATGGATGATGGAGGCCAGGAGGAAGAAGAATGAAGACAGGAAGATGATGTTTGTGGTCAGAGACGATGGAGAAGTTCTGATGGTTCTAACTGGACCTGCATCAGCCCTGTTTCTCTCTCTGACAGCTCATTCCAGAGCTAATTAGCTCTGATTTAATTAGCAGTTCAGCTGAGGGGGCGGAGCCTGGGGCTCCCAGCCTGTCATCTGTTGGCAGAAGCAAAGCGCTGCTGTTCTGTCAGTAATGAGGTTGTTTGTTCAGTGAGTGGAGTCATTACAGAACATTTCATTAGCAACGCTTCGTTCACCAGGGATCAAGGAGACACTTTGGTTCAGAAGAACTTTAGAGCAAACATTCCAGCTGCACCATGGAGTCCTCCTCCTGCGCCTCATGGCCGTTCCTCACCTTCACCACCATCACCTGTTAACTCTTCCTCCTCCTCTTCCTCTGCAGCTCCATCTCTGGTCAGCGAGCTGCGAGCGGAGAAGATTGAGGAGAAGAGCGTTACGCTGGTGTGGAGAGAGCCCTCCTACCCCAACAGCAGCCGCACCGAGTATGAAGTCAAGTACTACGAGAAGGTAAAGAGCTGCAGAACCTTTCTGGTTCCCAGCAGAACCTTTGGTTCCATGCACTTACCTGTAAGGCGGCTCAAAAATGACTCAAACCGCTGCGCTTTAAATTCTGCTCTGGAGAGGGAAAAACAGAAATACACGAATAGACAGGATATGAAGCTATGAAGATGTTAAACCTCCTGGATGAGCGGCAGCAGGAAGTTAAAGGGTTAAACTGTTCTGTTAAAACTTAACCAGCTGATCTACGGCGCCAGATGATATAAACTGGTTCACATCTGGATCCCTGACAGGTTAGAAAGGATGAAATCTACAGCTGAATTTCTACACCAACACACCCTCTCTGATCTTGCTATATGTAGTGAGGACCATGCGTCGACTGCCGGTGATTTTCAGCCCTTTCTTCGCCCTAACCCTGAAAATGACCCTAAGCAGAGCATTCCTCACTCCTGAACAGAACGTTAGCAGATTAGCTATGAGGACCTCACTTTACAACAATGAGACAAAACCACACACTCAGTCAACAGCTGCTGAGCTTAGCTCTTAGCTTAGCTCCTATCTAACTATTATCTTAGATCTTATCTTAGCTCTTATCTTAGCTCTTAGCTTAGCTCCTAGCTTAGCTCTTAGCTTAGCTCTTATTTTAGCTCTTAGATTTGCTCCTAGAGTACCTCTTAGCTTAGCTCTTAGCTTAGCTCTTATTTTAGCTCTTAGATTTGCTCCTAGAGTACCTCTTAGCTTAGCTCCTAGCATAGCTCTTATCTTAGCTCTTATCATAGATCTTATCTTAGCTCTTAGCTTAGCTCTTATCTTAGCTCGTATCTTAGCTCATAGCTTAGTTCCTATCTTAGCTCGTATCTTAGCTCTTAGCTTAGCTCCTAGCTTAGCTCTTAGCTTAGCTCTTATTTTAGCTCTTAGATTTGCTCCTAGAGTACCTCTTAGCTTAGCTCCTAGCATAGCTCTTATCTTAGCTCTTATCATAGATCTTATCTTAGCTCTTAGCTTAGCTCTTATCTTAGCTCGTATCTTAGCTCATAGCTTAGTTCCTATCTTAGCTCGTATCTTAGCTCTTAGCTTAGCTCCTAGCTTAGCTCTTAGCTTAGCTCTTATTTTAGCTCTTAGATTTGCTCCTAGAGTACCTCTTAGCTTAGCTCCTAGCATAGCTCTTATCTTAGCTCTTATCATAGATCTTATCTTAGCTCTTAGCTTAGCTCTTATCTTAGCTCGTATCTTAGCTCATAGCTTAGCTCCTATCTTAGCTCGTATCCTAGCTCTTATCTTAGCTCTTAGCTCAGCTCTTAGCTTTGCTCTTACATTAGCTCGTAACTTAACTCTTAGCTTAGCCCTTGACTTAGCTCTCATCTTAGCTGTTATCTTAGCTGTTATCTCAGCTCTTAGCTTAGCTCTTAGCTTAGCTCCTGGCTTAGCCATGTCTGTGTGGATGCTCGGTGTCAGTGAGCAGAGAGATAGCTTCTGCTAGAGGGCGGGTTCAGATGGAGGGAGGTTTTTTCCCCCCAAATGACATCATAAAGGGCACAATTTTTTAAAGGAATTATTGCTGTAGGGTCAGCCAGCAGAACACATGCACCTATGGGAGGTCCGACAGTGCGGCCATGTTGTTTGTGCAAATGATTATTGGTGCATTGATTTGCTAACCCTAAAGCCTGGGATACACTGTGTGATATTTTCAATTGTTGCTTGCAGCCCGACTCAAATTGTCAGAATCAGTTGCTCAGGCTAAAGGTCAGAGCTCGTGTTTCATGTCCTCATACTGTAGGAACCGACGCTCAGACCTCCGACAGGTCGGGGAACAATCCTGACATGCAACAGAATAAATAGAGCTAGTACTAGTAAGAACTAGTAAGAATGCGTGATGTGAAAATCTCTGAGGAAATAGTTCTCAGTCTGGTAATTTCTCCGCTTCAACACGCGATTCACTTACAAACCACAACCAAAATATCAAACAGGTTTATTTTCTTGCAACCCTACATTTCTCATCAGGAGCCCATGTGTTATGATCCCTGATCCCCAAAATTGCTGAATAACTGAAAGTCATCTAAAAAAAACAAAAATCCTACAGTGTATGCCTGACCTACAGAACGCCCAGTCTGTAGGAATACCCACATAGTCTGCTAGTAAGAAGCTAAGATAAGGAGTTAGAAGCTAGGAACAGGATCTAGGAGCTAGAAACTGGAGCTAGGAGCTAGAAACAGGAGCTAGGAACAGCAGCTAGGAGCTAGGAACAGGAGCTAGGAGCTAGGAACAGGAGCTAGGAACAGCAGCTAGGAGCTAGGAACAGGAGCTAGGAGCTAGAAACACGAGCTAGGAACAGCAGCTAGGAGCTAGGAACAGGAGCTAGGAGCTAGAAACACGAGCTAGGAACAGGAGCTAGGAGCTAGGAACAGGAGCTAGGAACAGCAGCTAGGAGCTAGGAACAGGAGCTAGGAGCTAGAAACACGAGCTAGGAACAGCAGCTAGGAGCTAGGAACAGGAGCTAGGAGCTAGAAACAGGAACTACAGGCTTAGAGCTAGGGACAGGGGCTAGGTGTAAGGAACGGGAACTAGGAGCTAGAAACAGCAGCTAGGAGCTAGGAACAAGAACTACAGGCTTAGAACAGGAACTAGGAGCTAGAAACAGGAACTAGGAGCTAGAAACAGGAGTTGGAACAAGAAGTATGTGCTTGAAACAGGAACTACGGGCTTGGAACAGGAACTAGGAGCAGGAAACAGGAACTAGGGGCTAGGAACAGGATCTAGGAACAGAAACTAGGAGCTAGAAACAGGAGCTATGGACAGGAGCCAGTAACAGGAGCTAGGTGCTAGGAGCTAGAAACAGGAACTATGAGCTAGAAACAGGAGCTAGGAACTAGGAACAGGAACTAGGAGCTAGAAACAGGAACTAGTAGCCAGCAGCTATAAACAAGAGCAAGAGCTAGGAACAGGAACTGGGGGGTAGGAACAGGAACTAGCAGCTATAAACAGGAGCTAGGAACAGGAACTAGGAGCTAGAAACAGGAACTAAGAGCTAGGAACACAATCTAGGAGCTAGAAATGGGAGCTAGGAGCTAGGGACAGGATCTGGGAGGTCGAAACAGGAACTAATAGCTAGAAACACAAACTAGGAGCTAGGAACAGGAGCTAGGAGCTAGAAACAGGAACTAGGAGCTAGAAACAGGAGCTAGGAACTAGGGGTTAGGAACGGGAGCTAGGAACAGGAACTAGGAGCCAGAAACAAGAACTAGGAGCTAGAAACAGGAACTAGGAGCCAGAAACAAGAACTAGGAGCTAGAAACAGGAACTAGGAGCCAGAAGCAAGAACTAGGAGCTAGAAACAGGAACTAGGAGCCAGAAGCAAGAACTAGGAGCTAGAAACAGGAACTAGGAGCCAGAAACAATAGGAGCTAGAAACAGGAGCTAGGAACTAGGGGTTAGGAACAGGAACTAGGGGTTAGGAACAGGTGCTAGGAACAGGAACTAGGAGCCGATTTCATTCTCAGCAGACGGTTGTTCCTGCAGCATTTTCACTCAAACAAACAAACAGCAGAAAATGATGAAACCAAAGACAGGATTGAATGATGCCTGTTTGGTTTAGATCACCTGATCCTAAACATCTAGAAACACTACCTCCATTCAAATGGAGGACATCTGATGAAGACAAAGGATCTATGTCCAGCTGGATTTGTCTTCATTTGTCCCAAACTGCAATGAAAGAGATCAACAGATCTGAGCAGCTGTTAAAAGAGTCCCCATGTCCCCATGTCCTCCATGTCCCCATGTCCTCCATGTCCCCATGTCCCCATGTCCTCATGTCTCTGCAGGAACAGAAGGATCAGAGTTATTCCACCGTGAAGACATCAGCCACTCGGATCAGCGTCCATAACCTGAAACCAGGAACCACTTATGTCTTCCTCATCCGTCCCTTCTTAAGTCCAGCTCCTTCCTCCTTCTCTTCTTCCTCTTCTCTCTCATCAACCTCTTCTACTTCCTCCTCCTCTTCTTCCTCCTCCTCCCCTCCCCCCATTGACTACGGTGCGTACAGCGCCCCCCTGGAGCTGCAGACTCTGGGAGAGCGTAAGTCCTTCGATTGTCCCTCATCGTGTCTCTGTGGTATTTTACTGTCTTGTTAAAGTTTTTAAATGATGGACACGAGGGACGAAGCTGCTTTCAGTTTTTCAGACGAGGTTGGGATGGAAAATGTTTAAACCAGATGAGGTCAGGATTATCAAAGAGGAAATGACATCTAGACGCCTGATGAAGCTGTCAGGATGACCTGGTTCTGTAAAACATTAGCAGTGAGGAGACCTAACCTCCCGGCACCCATAAGGAGATTTAAAAGCTGGATGAGAGGAGGCCAGTCTGCCGGTTCCCCGGGACGACTGTGAGGGAAGCTGCGCTCTGGCTGCGTTTAAGCAGGCAGGAAGTCGCTTTAGATAAAGGCTGCTAACAGCTAGCAGGAGGCTAGCTGTGTTCCTGTGAGGTTCCTGTGAGGTCTGTGTGTTCGTGTGAGGTCTGTAGTTCCTGTGAGGTCTGTGTGGTTCCTGTGAGGTCTGTGTGTTTCTGTGAGGTCTGTATGTTCCTGTGAGGTCTGTATGTTCCTGTGAGGTCTGTGAGGTTCCTGTGAGGTCTGTATGTTCCTGTGAGGTCTGTAGTTCCTGTGAGGTCTGTGTAGTTCCTGTGAGGTCTGTATGTTCCTGTGAGGTCTGTGTGGTTCCTGTGAGGTCTGTGTGTTCCTGTGAGGTCTGTGAGGTTTCTGTGAGGTCTGTATGTTCCTGTGAGGTCTGTGAGGTTTCTGTGAGGTCTGTGTGGTTCCTGTGAGGTCTGTATGTTCCTGTGAGGTCTGTAGTTCCTGTGAGGTCTGTGTAGTTCCTGTGAGGTCTGTGTGGTTCCTGTGAGGTCTGTATGTTCCTGTGAGGTCTGTGTAGTTCCTGTGAGGTCTGTGTAGTTCCTGTGAGGTCTGTGTAGTTCCTGTGAGGTCTGTGTGTTTCTGTGAGGTCTGTGTAGTTCCTGTGAGGTCTGTGTAGTTCCTGTGAGGTCTGTGTAGTTCCTGTGAGGTCTGTGTAGTTCCTGTGAGGTCTGTGTGGTTCCTGTGAGGTCTGTAGTTCCTGTGAGGTCTGTGTAGTTCCTGTGAGGTCTGTGTGGTTCCTGTGAGGTCTGTGTGGTTCCTGTGAGGTCTGTGTGGTTCCTGTGAGGTCTGTGTGGTTCCTGTGAGGTCTGTATGTTCCTGTGAGGTCTGTGTAGTTCCTGTGAGGTCTGTGTGGTTCCTGTGAGGTCTGTAGTTCCTGTGAGGTCTGTGTAGTTCCTGTGAGGTCTGTGTGGTTCCTGTGAGGTCTGTGTGGTTCCTGTGAGGTCTGTGTGGTTCCTGTGAGGTCTGTATGTTCCTGTGAGGTCTGTGTGTTCCTGTGAGGTCTGTGAGGTTCCTGAATGGTTCTGTCGGTTCCAGTGGCCCTGGCGTCCAGCGAACAGAACCCGGTGGTGATCATCATCATCGTGTCTGTGGCCGCCCTCGTCATGCTGCTCTCCATGGGGGTGGGACTGCTCATCTGGAGAAGGTAGGTCACTAGTGAACCACCTCCCTGAACCCAAACATCTGGATCCAATCAGCTGCCAGTAAATGAGTCCATCTGATTGGCTGATATGAACCAGTGTTCATCCTGCAGTCTGGGAAGCTTTGGTTTCCATAAATCGTTGCTTTAAATAAGCCTTTATGGCCTGATAATAAAATCCCTCGTTTCAGAAAAATCATTAGATGGAAACTTTAAAGCCGAGCGACTCAGAGGCGATAAAACTGCAGCGACTGATTCAATCATCCCAGTAAAATCCAACTCTGGATGATGGAGGACCAGTCCAGATATCTGAGGTTCTGTTAGCGAAGTTCTGACCTTCCTGGACTGTTTGTTTATTTCTATAGAGCCGATTAACTAGACTTCCCATCAGCTCACTTTACAGAGAGAATCAGTCAGGCTGGATTCATTTCATGAAAAGCAGCTGACTGCATCCAGTCACTTCCAGACCTGCTCCTCCTGGATGAGCCTACAGCCATGATTTACATTTGCATCGACTCATTGACTCTGCAGCAATCCCTCACACTAAGCATGATTGAAGCGACAGTGGAGAGGAAAAACTACCTTTAACAGGAAGAAACCTCCATCAGAACCAGGCTCAGTGTGAGCGGCCACAGCTGCAGCTTGGCCGAATAGAGAGAGTGAATCAGAATGATGAAAAGGGGTCCCTATGTCCTCCAGCAGTCTAAGCCTATAGCAGCAGAACTCTAGAGGTAGCTCAGGATAACTAACTATTCTGGATCAGGTATGTTTGCTATCTGAAAGCTCAGGTTCAGTTTAACAAGAGTGTGGGACAGAAACTAACCATCCTTTAACAGTCGGACCGTTGCCGTTCCCCAGAAACACTCAAACTGCTTCTCATGTGGGTTCTGCTCTGGTTGCTTTAAAAGGACAGTTTGGAGCAGAAGCTCCAGGTCCAGTTCCTGCCTGGAACAGCGTGTTCTCTGGTCAGCTGGTCAAGTAACGAACATCCCAGAGAAACAGGAAGTCAAAGGTTCTAAAGTTTATGGAAATTTAGTTCAGCTTCTGAGTAACATCAGAAATGAAAAATGTTTCATGGCTGCAGACTGAGTTGTTTTGAACGCTCCTCTAAATAAATGCTCTGCAGTTAAAGGTTGGATTCTGTTGCATTTCTCAGGGTGAGATTTTTCTGCTGCAATAATGGAATTTATTTCCAGGCGTCGTAACTCACCTTCCATCAGGGGTTAGAGAGAAAACATGTGGCTCAGAGGAAGAGACGAGACAGCAGGCAGGAAATGAGAGATGGAGACAAAGATGTGATGGAAGAAAACTGGGGGGGGGCAGAACCAGAGGCTGGGCCATCAGAACCACTGGACCTCCTGAGAGGAGGCGGCCAACAGGAGCCTGAATAACATAAACCCTCCTGATTAAAATACTAAAACAACGTGAAGGAAGCAAACAGAAGCTGCTGGTTCTGATCTGCTGGTTCTGATCTGCCGGTTCTGACCCGCTGGTTCTGATCTGCTGGTTCTGACCCGCTGGTTCTGATCTGCTGGTTCTGATCTGTTGGTTCTGATCTGCTGGTTCTGATCTGCCGGTTCTGACCCGCTGGTTCTGATCTGCCGGTTCTGACCCGCTGGTTCTGATCTGCCGGTTCTGATCCGCTGGTTCTGATCCGCTGGTTCTGACCCGCTGGTTCTGATCTGCTGGTTCTGATCTGTTGGTTCTGATCTGCTGGTTCTGATCTGCTGGTTCTGATTCCTCAAACATTCATTGGGTTTCATGCTTTCCATCACATAAGACACATTTAATCCCCCAAAATAATAATCTGGATCTTTCTGATTTCCTCGTTTTGTGATGAAGATTGAAGCCATCTAAAGTCTTCCTCAGATTGAAGCGACGAGCTTCAGACTCCAGACGGGCTGGAGGATCTCAGACCCGTTCAGAACCGGATCAGAACTGCTTCATGGATCATAAAGCTGATGATAAAGATGCTGATTTCTCATTCAGTCGGTTATTTTGTTGAAGCTCCGCCCATCTGGCTTTTCTGGAACTTGATTTCTTTGGGTTTGGATTTAATCCTGAGGATCAGCAGTTAAAAGAGAAGAAAGTTCTGATCTGGTTGGACCTGCTGTTAGTTTGGATCAGATGCTGAGAGACCTTGGTGTTCCTCACCTGTTCTCTCAGAAGGAAACGGAAATTAACAGGAAATACAATAAAATGTCCAAAAATAAATAATTAACTTGCTCCAAACAGAAAATAAGTAAAGTTCAGTTTCCTTGGTAACCGGACCTTAAAGCTGAAGCTTCTTCAGAATCCTGACCTTTCAGCCGCCGGTCAGCCCGATCCGATGCTGCAGGTCAGGGAGAGAGAGCAGGACGCGGTCAGGTTCAGGGTCCCTGTGGTTCTGCAGCTGATTAACCGGCTGTTACCATCAGAATCAGCTGGAACCTGCAGAACCACAGCGACCCGCTTTGGACCCTGCGTAGGGTCGGGACCGGCTCCCAGCAGAACCAAGTGGGATTTAAGGGTTGGGCTTTTTCAGGGTTTAACATCAGAACCTTAATCTATCGAGTCGACTGGAAAAACCTCTCAGTTTTCCATCCATCGGACGGATCATGGTGGAACGGCGCTCATCCAGATGAGAGCTGTGAACAAACTGCTTCTCTGCCATTAAACAGCAGCCTGAGTTCCTCCTCTGAGGCGTCAATAATCCCTCTGCAGTCAGATCTGTGGTGATAATCAGCCTTTTGTGTTTTTATCTCTGCAGGCAGTGCGGCTACAGCAAAGCTTCCCAGGAAGGAGACGAGGAACTTTACTTCCAGTGTAAGTCCCACTTCTAACATCACAGCTATCAGAGGTTCTGCTGGGTTCTGTTGGGCGGCTCCTCTCCGATCGTCGGACCTGCGCTCATTACACTCTGAAGAGAAATGAGACGTCAGATAAAAGAGTCCATTTGGTTCTGATCAGAAAGAGCAGAGCAGAAATAACTGATTGGACATCAAAGCGCTTCATGCTGAACTGGTCTCTGTGTTCTGCTGATGGAGGTTACTGGGCTAACTCCCAGTTAGACTCTAATGAGCTTCCTGTTTCCTGTCTGATCATGTCTGTTGAAGCAACACTGAGGAAGTCTCTGTGATTCCAGTTAAAATCCCAACCCGGAGAACCTACATCGACCCGGAGACCTGTGAGGACCTGCTGCAGGCCGTGCACGCCTTCGCCAAGGAGCTGGACAACCAGAGCATCAAGATAGAGAGAATCATGCACACAGGTACCGGACCCGCTGGTGCTGGTTCGCACCTGGTTCTGACATCCCAACCTGAGTTCTGCTCTCCGTTTCCCCCTGCAGGTGACTTTGGGGAGGTGTGCCGCGGCTGCCTGAGGCTCCCCAGTAAGAGAGAGCTGCCGGTGGCCATCAAGACGCTGAGGGCCGGCTGCTCCGACCAGCAGCGGCGCTCCTTCCTGAGCGAGGCCGGAATCCTGGGACAGTTCGACCACGGGAACATCATCCGCCTGGAAGGGGTCATCACCACAGGTGGGGGGGCTGTTCTAGTATCGGTTCTACTGCAGCAGGTTCTAGAACTGTTCTAGTATCGGTTCTACTAGAGCAGGTTCTAGAACTGTTCTAGTATCGGTTCTACTGCAGCAGGTTCTAGAACTGTTCTAGTATCGGTTCTACTGCAGCAGGTTCTAGAACTGTTCTAGTATCGGTTCTACTGCAGCAGGTTCTAGAACTGTTCTAGTATCGGTTCTACTGCAGCAGGTTCTAGAACTGTTCTAGTATCGGTTCTACTGCAGCAGGTTCTAGAACTGTTCTAGTAATGGTTCTACTGCAGCAGGTTCTGTAACGGTTCTAGAGCTGTTCTAGTATCGGTTCTACTGCAGCAGGTTCTAGAACTGTTCTAGTATCGGTTCTACTGCAGCAGGTTCTAGAGCTGTTCTAGTAATAGTTCTACTGCAGCAGGTTCTAGAACTGTTCTAGTATCGGTTCTACTGCAGCAGGTTCTAGAACTGTTCTATTATTGGTTCTACTGCAGCAGGTTCTAGAACTGTTCTAGTATCGGTTCTACTACAGCAGGTTCTAGAACTGTTCTAGTATTGGTTCTACTGCAGCGGGTTCTAGAACTGTTCTAGTATCGGTTCTACTGCAGCAGAACTGTTCTAGTATTGGTTCTACTGCAGCAGGTTCTGTAACGGTTCTAGAACTGTTCTTATATCGGTTCTACTACAGCAGGTTCTAGAACTGTACTAGTATTGGTTCTACTGCTGCAGGTTCTAGAACTGTTCTAGTATTGGTTCTACTGCAGCAGCTTCTAGAACTGTTCTAGTATCGGTTCTACTGCAGCAGGTTCTGTAACGGTTCTAGAACTGTTCTAGTATCGGTTCTACTGCAGCAGGTTCTAGAACTGTTCTATAATTGGTTCTACTGCAGCAGGTTCTAGAACTGTTCTAGTATCGGTTCTACTGCAGCAGGTTCTAGAACTGTTCTAGTAATGGTTCTACTGCAGCAGGTTCTGTAACGGTTCTAGAGCTGTTCTAGTATCGGTTCTACTGCAGCAGGTTCTAGAACTGTTCTAGTATCGGTTCTACTGCAGCAGGTTCTAGAGCTGTTCTAGTATTGGTTCTACTGCAGCAGGTTCTAGAACTGTTCTAGTATCAGTTCTACTGCAGCAGGTTCTAGAACTGTTCTATTATTGGTTCTACTGCAGCAGGTTCTAGAACTGTTCTAGTATCGGTTCTACTACAGCAGGTTCTAGAACTGTTCTAGTATTGGTTCTACTGCCGCAGAACTGTTCTAGTATCGGTTCTACTGCAGCAGAACTGTTCTAGTATCGGTTCTACTGAAGCAGGTTCTAGAACTGTTCTAGTATTGGTTCTACTGCAGCAGGTTCTAGAACTGTTCTATTATTGGTTCTACTGCAGCAGGTTCTAGAACTGTTCTAGTATCGGTTCTACTACAGCAGGTTCTAGAACTGTTCTAGTATTGGTTCTACTGCAGCAGGTTCTAGAACTGTTCTAGTATCGGTTCTACTACAGCAGGTTCTAGAACTGTTCTAGTATTGGTTCTACTGCAGCAGGTTCTAGAACTGTTCTAGTATCGGTTCTACTGCAGCAGGTTCTAGAACTGTTCTAGTATCTGTTCTACTGCAGCAGCTTCTAGAACTGTTCTAGTATTGGTTCTACTGCAGCAGGTTCTAGAACTGTTCTAGTATCGGTTCTACTGCAGCAGGTTCTGTAACGGTTCTAGAGTTGTTCTATTATTGGTTCTACTGCAGCAGAACTGTTCTAGTATTGGTTCTACTGCAGCAGGTTCTAGAACTGTTCTAGTGTCGGTTCAACTACAGCAGGTTCTAGAACTGTTCTAGTATCGGTTCTACTGCAGCAGGTTCTAGAACTGTTCTAGTATCGGTTCTACTGCAGCAGCTTCTAGAACTGTTCTAGTATTAGTTCTACTGCAGCAGCTTCTAGAACTGTTCTATTATTGGTTCTACTGCAGCAGGTTCTAGAACTGTTCTAGCAATGGTTCTACTGCAGCAGGTTCTGTAACGGTTCTAGAGCTGTTCTAGTATCGGTTCTACTGCAGCAGATTCTAGAGCTGTTCTAGTATTGGTTCTACTGCAGCAGGTTCTAGAACTGTTCTATTATTGGTTCTACTGCAGCAGGTTCTAGAACTGTTCTAGTATCGGTTCTACTACAGCAGGTTCTAGAACTGTTCTAGTATTGGTTCTACTGCAGCAGGTTCTAGAACTGTTCTAGTATCGGTTCTACTACAGCAGGTTCTAGAACTGTTCTAGTATTGGTTCTACTGCAGCAGGTTCTAGAACTGTTCTAGTATCGGTTCTACTGCAGCAGGTTCTAGAACTGTTCTAGTATCGGTTCTACTGCAGCAGGTTCTAGAACTGTTCTAGTATCTGTTCTACTGCAGCAGCTTCTAGAACTGTTCTAGTATTGGTTCTACTGCAGCAGGTTCTAGAACTGTTCTAGTATCGGTTCTACTGCAGCAGGTTCTGTAACGGTTCTAGAGTTGTTCTATTATTGGTTCTACTGCAGCAGAACTGTTCTAGTATTGGTTCTACTGCAGCAGGTTCTAGAACTGTTCTAGTGTCGGTTCAACTACAGCAGGTTCTAGAACTGTTCTAGTATCGGTTCTACTGCAGCAGGTTCTAGAACTGTTCTAGTATCGGTTCTACTGCAGCAGGTTCTAGAACTGTTCTAGTATTAGTTCTACTGCAGCAGCTTCTAGAACTGTTCTATTATTGGTTCTACTGCAGCAGGTTCTAGAACTGTTCTAGCAATGGTTCTACTGCAGCAGGTTCTGTAACGGTTCTAGAGCTGTTCTAGTATCGGTTCTACTGCAGCAGATTCTAGAACTGTTCTAGTATTGGTTCTACTGCAGCAGGTTCTAGAACTGTTCTAGTATCGGTTCTACTGCAGCAGGTTCTAGAACTGTTCTAGTATCGGTTCTACTGCAGCAGGTTCTAGAACTGTTCTAGTATCTGTTCTACTGCAGCAGCTTCTAGAACTGTTCTAGTATTGGTTCTACTGCAGCAGGTTCTAGAACTGTTCTAGTATCGGTTCTACTGCAGCAGGTTCTGTAACGGTTCTAGAGTTGTTCTATTATTGGTTCTACTGCAGCAGAACTGTTCTAGTATTGGTTCTACTGCAGCAGGTTCTAGAACTGTTCTAGTGTCGGTTCAACTACAGCAGGTTCTAGAACTGTTCTAGTATCGGTTCTACTGCAGCAGGTTCTAGAACTGTTCTAGTATCGGTTCTACTGCAGCAGGTTCTAGAACTGTTCTAGTATTAGTTCTACTGCAGCAGCTTCTAGAACTGTTCTATTATTGGTTCTACTGCAGCAGGTTCTAGAACTGTTCTAGCAATGGTTCTACTGCAGCAGGTTCTGTAACGGTTCTAGAGCTGTTCTAGTATCGGTTCTACTGCAGCAGATTCTAGAGCTGTTCTAGTATTGGTTCTACTGCAGCAGGTTCTAGAACTGTTCTAGTATTGGTTCTACTGCAGCAGGTTCTAGAACTGTTCTAGTATCGGTTCTACTACAGCAGGTTCTAGAACTGTTCTAGTATTGGTTCTACTGCAGCAGGTTCTAGAACTGTTCTAGTATCGGTTCTACTACAGCAGGTTCTAGAACTGTTCTAGTATTGGTTCTACTGCAGCAGGTTCTAGAACTGTTCTAGTATCGGTTCTACTGCAGCAGGTTCTAGAACTGTTCTAGTATCTGTTCTACTGCAGCAGCTTCTAGAACTGTTCTAGTATTAGTTCTACAGCAGCAGCTTCTAGAACTGTTCTATTATTGGTTCTACTGCAGCAGGTTCTAGAACTGTTCTAGTATCGGTTCTACTACAGCAGGTTCTAGAACTGTTCTAGTATTGGTTCTACTGCAGCAGGTTCTAGAACTGTTCTATTATTGGTTCTACTGCAGCAGGTTCTAGAACTGTTCTAGTATTGGTTCTACTGCAGCAGGTTCTAGAACTGTTCTAGTATTGGTTCTACTGCAGCAGGTTCTAGAACTGTTCTAGTATCGGTTCTACTGCAGCAGAACTGTTCGAGTATTGGTTCTACTGCAGCAGGTTCTGTAACGGTTCTAGAACTGTTCTTGTATCGGTTCTACTACAGCAGGTTCTAGAACTGTTCTAGTATTGGTTCTACTGCTGCAGGTTCTAGAACTGTTTTAGTATTGGTTCTACTGCAGCAGCTTCTAGAACTGTTCTAGTATCGGTTCTACTGCAGCAGGTTCTGTAACGGTTCTAGAACTGTTCTAGTATCGGTTCTACTGCAGCAGGTTCTAGAACTGTTCTAGTATTGGTTCTACTGCAGCAGGTTCTGTAACGGTTCTAGAACTGTTCTAGTATTGGTTCTACTGCTGCAGGTTCTAGAACTGTTCTAGTATTGGTTCTACTGCAGCAGCTTCTAGAACTGTTCTAGTATCGGTTCTACTGCAGCAGGTTCTGTAACGGTTCTAGAACTGTTCTAGTATCGGTTCTACTGCAGCAGGTTCTAGAACTGTTCTAGTATTGGTTCTACTGCAGCAGGTTCTGTAACGGTTCTAGAACTGTTCTAGTATCGGTTCTACTACAGCAGGTTCTAGAACTGTTCTAGTATTGGTTCTACTGCAGCAGGTTCTAGAACTGTTCTAGTATCGGTTCTACTGCAGCAGAACTGTTCTAGTATTGGTTCTACTGCAGCAGGTTCTGTAACGGTTCTAGAACTGTTCTAGTATCGGTTCTACTGCAGCAGGTTCTAGAACTGTTCTATAATTGGTTCTACTGCAGCAGGTTCTAGAACTGTTCTAGTATCGGTTCTACTGCAGCAGGTTCTAGAACTGTTCTAGTAATGGTTCTACTGCAGCAGGTTCTGTAACGGTTCTAGAGCTGTTCTAGTATCGGTTCTACTGCAGCAGGTTCTAGAACTGTTCTAGTATCGGTTCTACTGCAGCAGGTTCTAGAGCTGTTCTAGTATTGGTTCTACTGCAGCAGGTTCTAGAACTGTTCTAGTATCAGTTCTACTGCAGCAGGTTCTAGAACTGTTCTATTATTGGTTCTACTGCAGCAGGTTCTAGAACTGTTCTAGTATCGGTTCTACTACAGCAGGTTCTAGAACTGTTCTAGTATTGGTTCTACTGCCGCAGAACTGTTCTAGTATCGGTTCTACTGCAGCAGAACTGTTCTAGTATCGGTTCTACTGAAGCAGGTTCTAGAACTGTTCTAGTATTGGTTCTACTGCAGCAGGTTCTAGAACTGTTCTATTATTGGTTCTACTGCAGCAGGTTCTAGAACTGTTCTAGTATCGGTTCTACTACAGCAGGTTCTAGAACTGTTCTAGTATTGGTTCTACTGCAGCAGGTTCTAGAACTGTTCTAGTATCGGTTCTACTACAGCAGGTTCTAGAACTGTTCTAGTATTGGTTCTACTGCAGCAGGTTCTAGAACTGTTCTAGTATTGGTTCTACTGCAGCAGGTTCTAGAACTGTTCTAGCAATGGTTCTACTGCAGCAGGTTCTGTAACGGTTCTAGAGCTGTTCTAGTATCGGTTCTACTGCAGCAGATTCTAGAGCTGTTCTAGTATTGGTTCTACTGCAGCAGGTTCTAGAACTGTTCTATTATTGGTTCTACTGCAGCAGGTTCTAGAACTGTTCTAGTATCGGTTCTACTACAGCAGGTTCTAGAACTGTTCTAGTATTGGTTCTACTGCAGCAGGTTCTAGAACTGTTCTAGTATCGGTTCTACTACAGCAGGTTCTAGAACTGTTCTAGTATTGGTTCTACTGCAGCAGGTTCTAGAACTGTTCTAGTATCGGTTCTACTGCAGCAGGTTCTAGAACTGTTCTAGTATCGGTTCTACTGCAGCAGGTTCTAGAACTGTTCTAGTATCTGTTCTACTGCAGCAGCTTCTAGAACTGTTCTAGTATTGGTTCTACTGCAGCAGGTTCTAGAACTGTTCTAGTATCGGTTCTACTGCAGCAGGTTCTGTAACGGTTCTAGAGTTGTTCTATTATTGGTTCTACTGCAGCAGAACTGTTCTAGTATTGGTTCTACTGCAGCAGCTTCTAGAACTGTTCTATTATTGGTTCTACTGCAGCAGGTTCTAGAACTGTTCTAGCAATGGTTCTACTGCAGCAGGTTCTGTAACGGTTCTAGAGCTGTTCTAGTATCGGTTCTACTGCAGCAGATTCTAGAGCTGTTCTAGTATTGGTTCTACTGCAGCAGGTTCTAGAACTGTTCTAGTATCGGTTCTACTGCAGCAGGTTCTAGAACTGTTCTAGTGTCGGTTCAACTACAGCAGGTTCTAGAACTGTTCTAGTATCGGTTCTACTGCAGCAGGTTCTAGAACTGTTCTAGTATCGGTTCTACTGCAGCAGGTTCTAGAACTGTTCTAGTATTAGTTCTACTGCAGCAGCTTCTAGAACTGTTCTAGTATCGGTTCTACTACAGCAGGTTCTAGAACTGTTCTAGTATTGGTTCTACTGCAGCAGGTTCTAGAACTGTTCTAGTATCGGTTCTACTACAGCAGGTTCTAGAACTGTTCTAGTATTGGTTCTACTGCAGCAGGTTCTAGAACTGTTCTAGTATCGGTTCTACTGCAGCAGGTTCTAGAACTGTTCTAGTATCTGTTCTACTGCAGCAGCTTCTAGAACTGTTCTAGTATTAGTTCTACAGCAGCAGCTTCTAGAACTGTTCTATTATTGGTTCTACTGCAGCAGGTTCTAGAACTGTTCTAGTATCGGTTCTACTACAGCAGGTTCTAGAACTGTTCTAGTATTGGTTCTACTGCAGCAGGTTCTAGAACTGTTCTATTATTGGTTCTACTGCAGCAGGTTCTAGAACTGTTCTAGTATTGGTTCTACTGCAGCAGGTTCTAGAACTGTTCTAGTATTGGTTCTACTGCAGCAGGTTCTAGAACTGTTCTAGTATCGGTTCTACTGCAGCAGAACTGTTCGAGTATTGGTTCTACTGCAGCAGGTTCTGTAACGGTTCTAGAACTGTTCTTGTATCGGTTCTACTACAGCAGGTTCTAGAACTGTTCTAGTATTGGTTCTACTGCTGCAGGTTCTAGAACTGTTTTAGTATTGGTTCTACTGCAGCAGCTTCTAGAACTGTTCTAGTATCGGTTCTACTGCAGCAGGTTCTGTAACGGTTCTAGAACTGTTCTAGTATCGGTTCTACTGCAGCAGGTTCTAGAACTGTTCTAGTATTGGTTCTACTGCAGCAGGTTCTGTAACGGTTCTAGAACTGTTCTAGTATTGGTTCTACTGCTGCAGGTTCTAGAACTGTTCTAGTATTGGTTCTACTGCAGCAGCTTCTAGAACTGTTCTAGTATCGGTTCTACTGCAGCAGGTTCTGTAACGGTTCTAGAACTGTTCTAGTATCGGTTCTACTGCAGCAGGTTCTAGAACTGTTCTAGTATTGGTTCTACTGCAGCAGGTTCTGTAACGGTTCTAGAACTGTTCTAGTATCGGTTCTACTACAGCAGGTTCTAGAACTGTTCTAGTATTGGTTCTACTGCAGCAGGTTCTAGAACTGTTCTAGTATCGGTTCTACTGCAGCAGAACTGTTCTAGTATTGGTTCTACTGCAGCAGGTTCTGTAACGGTTCTAGACCTGTTCTTGTATCGGTTCTACTACAGCAGGTTCTAGAACTGTTCTAGTATTGGTTCTACTGCAGCAGGTTCTAGAACTGTTCTAGTATCTGTTCTACTGCAGCAGCTTCTAGAACTGTTCTAGTATCGGTTCTACTGCAGCAGGCTCTGTAACGGTTCTAGAACTGTTCTAGTATCGGTTCTACTGCAGCAGGTTCTAGAACTGTTCTAGTATTGGTTCTACTGCAGCAGGTTCTGTAACGGTTCTAGAACTGTTCTAGTATTGGTTCTACTGCAGCAGGTTCTAGAACTGTTCTAGTATTAATTCTACTGCAGCAGAACTGTTCTAGTATTGGTTCTACCTGAGCCCAGAACCGGGCCGCCTGATTGGCCCTAATGAACCCTGACTGTGTGCAGCTGCAGAACCAACCGGACCGACTGGTTCTGGTCCGTTCTCCTCTGACAGATCCCTGTGTTTCTGCAGGAAACACCATGATGATCGTGGAGGAGAGCATGGCCAACGGCGCCATGGACGCCTTCCTCAGGGTACGCTTGATTTTCGGGCCCTGTTGGCGAGCGTGATGACAGAACGGCGGCGCTGCTGGTTCCGCTCAGCTAACTCCCCTCTGTCTCCATAGAAACACGAAGGCCAGCTGAGCGCCATGCAGCTGATGGACATGCTGAGCGGCGTGGCTTCAGGCATGAAGTACCTCACTGAGATGGGCTTTGTCCACAAGCGGTTGGCGGCGCACAAGGTGAGGCAGATGGAGGAGAGCGCGGCGTTCTCCACCTCAGAACCAGCTTCACTCCTTGTTCTGCTCATTCCAGGTTTTGGTCAACTCCAACCTGACCTGCAAGGTTTCAGGCTTCAGGCCTCTTCAGGAGGAAAAGATCGAGGCCATCTACACCACGCTGGTAAGATGTTCCACCAGTTCCTTCTGTCTTTATCAGAACCAACATGCATCAAGCAGCAGAACCTCTTCTTCTGACGGATGCTAAACCAGGTCCAACTCAGCCGGTTGCGTCAGAACCGCATCCCAACAGCACCAGAACTCCAACTATTAGATGGTGCTTCAACATTTTCCCACATTCTTCCCAGTTATCAGTCTGGTTTCCATGGAAACCCATCAAATCTACACTCCAGCAACCTCAGCTTGTGATTGGCTCTTTACTGAACCAATTAGGAGTCTCAATCCGAGTCCCGTTCTACTGGCTGAGACCTGGTTTAACATCAGCCACTGGTTCTGATTGGATCGGCTGAGTGGCGTCCGATCCAGATGTTCTGGTTCTACTGCAGCAGGTTCTAGAACTGTTCTAGTATTGGTTCTACTGCAGCAGCTTCTAGAACTGTTCTAGTATCGGTTCTATTGAACCTGGTTCTAGAACTGTTCTAGTATCGGTTCTACTGAACCTGGTTCTGGAACTGTGCTAGTATCGGTTCTATTGCACCTGGTTCTAAAACTGTTCTAGTATTGGTTCTACTGAACCTGGTTCTAGAACTGTTCTAGTATTGGTTGTATTGAACCTGGTTCTAGAACTGTTCTAGTATCGGTTCTACTGAACCTGGTTCTGGAACTGTGCTAGTATCGGTTCTATTGCACCTGGTTCTAGAACTGTTCTAGTATTGGTTCTACTGAACCTGGTTCTAGAACTGTTCTAGTATCGGTTCTACTGAACCTGGTTCTGGAACTGTTCTAGTATCGGTTCTATTGCACCTGGTTCTAGAACTGCTCTAGTATTGGTTCTACTGAACCTGGTTCTGGAACTGTGCTAGTATCGGTTCTATTGCACCTGGTTCTGGAACTGTTCTAGTATCGGTTCTATTGCACCTGGTTCTAGAACTGTTCTAGTATTGGTTCTACTGAACCTGGTTCTAGAACTGTTCTAGTATCGGTTCTACTGAACCTGGTTCTGGAACTGTGCTAGTATCAGTTCTATTGCACCTGGTTCTAGAACTGTTCTAGTATTGGTTCTACTGAACCTGGTTCTAGAACTGTTCTAGTATCGGTTCTACTGAACCTGGTTCTGGAACTGTGCTAGTATTGGTTCTACTGCAGCAGGTTCTGGAACTGTTCTAGTATTGGTTCTACTGCAGCAGCTTCTAGAACTGTTCTAGTATCGGTTCTACTGAACCTGGTTCTGGAACTGTGCTAGTATCGGTTCTATTGCACCTGGTTCTAGAACTGTTCTAGTATTGGTTCTACTGAACCTGGTTCTAGAACTGTTCTAGTATCAGTTCTATTGAACCTGGTTCTAGAACTGTTCTAGTATCGGTTCTACTGAACCTGGTTCTGGAACTGTGCTAGTATCGGTTCTATTGCACCTGGTTCTAGAACTGTTCTAGTATTGGTTCTACTGAACCTGGTTCTAGAACTGTTCTAGTATCGGTTCTACTGAACCTGGTTCTGGAACTGTGCTAGTATTGGTTCTACTGAACCTGGTTCTGGAACTGTGCTAGTATCGGTTCTATTGCACCTGGTTCTAGAACTGTTCTAGTATTGGTTCCACTGAACCTGGCTCTAGAACTGTTCTAGTATCGGTTCTACTGAACCTGGTTCTGGAACTGTGCTAGTATTGGTTCTACTGCAGCAGGTTCTGGAACTGTTCTAGTATTGGTTCTACTGCAGCAGGTTCTAGAACTGTTCTAGTATTGGTTCTACTGAACCTGGTTCTGGAACTGTGCTAGTATCGGTTCTATTGCACCTGGTTCTAGAACTGTTCTAGTATTGATTCTACTGAACCTGGTTCTAGAACTGTTCTAGTATTGGTTCTACTGCAGCAGGTTCTGGAACTGTTCTAGTATTGGTTCTACTGTAGCAGGTTCTGGAACTGTTCTAGTATCGGTTCTACTGCAGCAGGTTCTAGAACTGTTCTAGTATTGGTTCTACTGAACCTGGTTCCGGAACTGTGCTAGTATCGGTTCTATTGCACCTGGTTCTAGAACTGTTCTAGTATCGGTTCTACTGAACCTGGTTCTGGAACTGTGCTAGTATCGGTTCTATTGCACCTGGTTCTAGAACTGTTCTAGTATTGGTTCTACTGAACCTGGTTCTAGAACTGTTCTAGTATCAGTTCTATTGAACCTGGTTCTAGAACTGTTCTAGTATCGGTTCTACTGAACCTGGTTCTGGAACTGTGCTAGTATCGGTTCTATTGCACCTGGTTCTAGAACTGTTCTAGTATTGGTTCTACTGAACCTGGTTCTAGAACTGTTCTAGTATCGGTTCTACTGAACCTGGTTCTGGAACTGTGCTAGTATTGGTTCTACTGAACCTGGTTCTGGAACTGTGCTAGTATCGGTTCTATTGCACCTGGTTCTAGAACTGTTCTAGTATTGGTTCTACTGAACCTGGCTCTAGAACTGTTCTAGTATCGGTTCTACTGAACCTGGTTCTGGAACTGTGCTAGTATTGGTTCTACTGCAGCAGGTTCTGGAACTGTGCTAGTATTGGTTCTACTGCAGCAGGTTCTGGAACTGTTCTAGTATTGGTTCTACTGCAGCAGGTTCTAGAACTGTTCTAGTATTGGTTCTACTGAACCTGGTTCTGGAACTGTGCTAGTATCGGTTCTATTGCACCTGGTTCTAGAACTGTTCTAGTATTGATTCTACTGAACCTGGTTCTAGAACTGTTCTAGTATTGGTTCTACTGCAGCAGGTTCTGGAACTGTTCTAGTATTGGTTCTACTGTAGCAGGTTCTGGAACTGTTCTAGTATTGGTTCTACTGCAGCAGGTTCTAGAACTGTTCTAGTATTGGTTCTACTGAACCTGGTTCCGGAACTGTGCTAGTATCGGTTCTATTGCACCTGGTTCTAGAACTGTTCTAGTATCGGTTCTACTGAACCTGGTTCTGGAACTGTGCTAGTATTGGTTCTACTGAACCTGGTTCTGGAACTGTGCTAGTATCGGTTCTATTGCACCTGGTTCTAGAACTGTTCTAGTATTGGTTCTACTGAACCTGGCTCTAGAACTGTTCTAGTATCGGTTCTACTGAACCTGGTTCTGGAACTGTGCTAGTATTGGTTCTACTGCAGCAGGTTCTGGAACTGTTCTAGTATTGGTTCTACTGCAGCAGGTTCTAGAACTGTTCTAGTATTGGTTCTACTGAACCTGGTTCTGGAACTGTGGTAGTATCGGTTCTATTGCACCTGGTTCTAGAACTGTTCTAGTATTGATTCTACTGAACCTGGTTCTAGAACTGTTCTAGTATTGGTTCTACTGCAGCAGGTTCTGGAACTGTTCTAGTATTGGTTCTACTGTAGCAGGTTCTGGAACTGTTCTAGTATTGGTTCTACTGCAGCAGCTTCTAGAACTGTTCTAGTATTGGTTCTTCTGCACCAGGTTCTGGAACGGATCTAGAACTGTCTAACTCTGTCTCCTTTTCCTGCAGCATGGGGGGAAGAGCGTGGTTCTGTGGACCGCTCCAGAAGCCATCCAGTACCATCGCTTCTCTTCAGCCTCTGACGTCTGGAGCTTCGGCATCGTCATGTGGGAGGTCATGTCCTACGGAGAGAGACCCTACTGGGACATGGGAACCCAGGATGTGAGTTGGTTCAGTCTCAATCAGCTCTGGACCCAGACCCCCCAGGGAGGAGCCCTGAATCTGCTTCACCCCCACTGGCTGCTCATCCCTCTGTCTAGAATGAGACATTTAATTTACAAAGCTGCAGATAGTCCCCCCTCCCCGCTCTGTTACTGAATGCTCAGAACCAATAAGGAGTTCCTGAGCAGAACCAGCTGATGAAGAACCCAGCCTGACCGGTTAACAATGGCTAACAGGTTAGCGGTTGGAGCAGGATAAGGCTGGTTAGTGGTGGGAGGGGGGGGGCTAGGCTAATTAGTTAGCAGTTTCAGGAGTGTTGGTCTCCTGCTGATCTGGTTCCTGCGGTGGGTTCTGGTTCCTGTGGTGGTTTCTGGTTCCTGTGATGGGTTCTAGTTGCTGTGATGGGTTCTGGTTCCTGTGGTGGGTTCTGGTTCCTGCGGTGGGTTCTGGTTCCCTGTGGTGGGTTCTGGTTTCCTGTGGTGGGTTCTAGTTCCCTGTGGTGGGTTCTGGTTCCTGTGATGGGTTCTGGTTCCTGCGGTGGGTTCTGGTTCCTGTGGTGGTTTCTGGTTCCTGTGATGGGTTCTAGTTGCTGTGATGGGTTCTGGTTCCTGCAGTGGGTTCTGGTTCCCTGTGGTGGGTTCTGGTTCCCTGTGGTGGGTTCTGGTTCCCCTCTGGTTCTAGAATCGTCCACAGGAGTGGTTCTCTGGAAGCAGCAGGTCCAGAGTAAACCGAGTCTGTTTCATTAGGAGAACATCCAGCTTCCTTCCTGCATCACAGGAAGAACTTGGTCACCTGACCTTCTGGACTTCCTGTTTGCAGGTAATCAAGGCCATCGAGGACGGCTTCAGGCTGCCGGCTCCGGTCAACTGTCCTCCACATCTGCATCAGCTGATGCTGGACTGCTGGCAGAAGGAGCGGACGGAGCGGCCCACTTTCAGCCAGATCCACTCGGCGCTCAGTAAGAGCGTCTGCTCTCCGGACGGGATCAGCTCGTCCACTCTGGCCCGCAGGTACCACCGCCGCCGCACGGCTCTGCTTTCTGATGCCTGCCGCGTCCAAAGCTTTAACATCTCTGCTCCTCCAGGACCCTGAGCTCCTCCATCGGCCTGGCCGAGCCGCCGCTGCCCACCATCTCGTCCTTCAGCTCCGTGGGGGAGTGGCTGGATGCGGTGGACATGGGTCGATACAAGGACAACTTCACCGCGGCCGGGTACTGCTACCTGGAATCTGTGGCCCGGATGACCGTGCAGTGAGTGGCTCCTCCAGCTCCGAGCGTCAGTCCAGACGGACGGCTTCTGAATGTTTCTGTATGTCCGCAGGGACGTCCTGAGCCTCGGCATCACCTCCCTGGACCATCAGAAGCTGATCCTGGCCGCCATTCAGACGCTCAGGGCGCAGGTGATCCAGATGCATGGCCGGGGGGTGCAGGTCTGACCGGTGGAGCGGGCCTAGCGCCGACGGAGGAGCTCTGGCACACCGAGAGGAAGACTCCGCTTCCATTCCTTCACCTGAGGACCTCAGAGGAGCCGCGCTGCACGTCCTTCCTGTCCTCTGCTGGCCGGACCAGAGCTTTGGCCCGGCGGCTGATTTTGGTGGAACAACCCTTTAAGACAAACCTTCTGATGTGGCCATCCGGCGCCGCTCCAACGCTGAGGGCTGCTGGCTTCGTCGATGTGGGCGGGGCTTTAGTCAGCGGCGGCGGCGGCACGCTGCTTCTGGCCCATTGAGTCTGATGGTGAAACGAACGCAGTGAAAGGTTCCAACTTCTCTCCTCCTTGGTGCTTTTCTTCGTGCCGGATGAGGAACCGCTGCGTCACGCGAAGAACATTGTAAAAAAAGTTCAAGATGGAGGCTTCAGTCTGAGCAGCTCCTCCATCCAAACCCGCCCAGGTTCCCTCCTCTACAGAGGGGGCCACCAGGGGGCGCTACAGGGGTCAGACAACTGGGAGAAAATTAGCTGAAAAAATGTTTTTTTTCTATTTTCATAAAATTATGTTATTTGCTTTTAATTAATATAAAGTATAAGTTGCAAAGAAAGGAGGGTGGCGTCCCACAGACTGGACAAACATGGAGCTCATCTACACTGACTTTAAGCCCCGCCCTCCCGCTACACACCCAATCAGGTTGGTTTCTGTTGCTCTGCTCTCATTGGTTGATAACATAAAAAATATTCTTTAGCCAAACAAACAGAATAATCATATAATTGGAGTTAAAATGAAGATTAATTCATATTATTTTCAGGTAGTTTGTTTAAGGAAAAGTCGCTCATAATCAGAATTTAAACTTTTTAAAGTTCTTTAAATCTGAAATGATTCCATCCTGTTCAATAAATGATCAGTGTTTTTAATTCAGAGTCATTTTCATGTGAATGTGCTATACTGGAGGCATCCATGTTTGTCAAAGAACACTACTGCCACCTACTGGTTAGTGACATTGTCACGGTGCGGTATCGGCTGTTGATCAAGTCCCAGTGCTGTATCTGGTGTTTGTCACAACGCGCTATTATCCAAGTCATCTTGAAAACATTCTTCTTCCAAATGTTGGCTACATATTACGGGTTTTTTCTCTGGCCAGAAGTTCGATGGCAAATCCTCCCTCTTCAAGTTGGCGATCCAACGACCAACCCGTCCGTGGAGGATCAGGAATCAGAAAGGTGGAATAACTCTTTATTTCACTTTTACCCGATGTATTCCAGCATCCAGCTGCCATGCACGTGGGCATTGTCAGTTTCACTATAGCTCTGGTGAATTTCAATGGTGAAGTCCTCTGGAAATCTTCAATAATTGTTGTTGATTGCAGATGTGTCTAGTAGTTCCCATTGATTTAGCTTGGAAAGCTGGGAGAATGGCGCTAGGCTTACCGCACCGTGACGTCACTGCTGGAAGATGGCAGGAGGGAGGGGCTACTAGATTTGGGAAAAAATGGCCGCTCCCAGACTCAGTGATCGAGATGAAAAATATTGTTTTAATTTATTTTACTGATAAACGTTAAATTCATTAAATCACGGTAAACGTTTTAGTTTAAGGTATAAATAATGATCCATTGATTCTTCCTGCTGACTGAACTTTTCCTTTAAAAGAACAGAAACAGAAAGTTGAGTGTTTAGGGCATAGAGCTTGAAATCCAGAAGTTCTGTGTTCGAACCCCACTCCCACAGACTGCCACTCTGGGTTAACCCCCACTCTGCTCCCCAATGGGGGGGTTAAATTCAGAGGGTGTTTGATTCTGGTTAAAGTGGGTTTTATTTCTCAGTAAACCAGAACCACTGAAGCTACTTAAGGATAAGCATGAAATGGTTCACTCTATGTGTTATAGATCTATAGAATCTGGTTGACCTTTTTCATCATGTTCTGGTTTCTGGAAGCTGTCCTGTTTTAAATCTATTATCTGTATTTATTCTGTCCTCAGAGGAAGCTTTGATTGATCTGGTTCTGGTTGATTTGGACCCGAAGCTCACAGTGGGGCGGGGGGGGGGGTGTTTATTACTGTAAATATAAACCTGGAAAAGGCAAATCTATTTTTATAATTTGTTTGATTGTTGGTTGATCTATCTGCTCACTGTGTAACGGTTCTACCGAACCATAGCTCTACCTTTGGAATATAAAGTGTTTTTTTTATGATTTTTACCTGTAGATTGAACTCTGATGGCTGTTGCTATATTTAAACGTCTTATTAAAAAACTTCCATACAAACTAGAATCTGGCCGTCTTCATTTCTTTACACCTTAAATCAGGTTTTATGGAGGAGTGGAGATGAGGGAGGAGAACATCTGATCGCAGGAGACATGCAGGACAACCTGAACACATTCTCTGCAGTGAGGCATGGTGGTGGCAGTATGATGCTGTGGGGCAGAGTGATGGGAATGTGGAAAGGTTGGTGGGGGTTGGTGTGATCAAAGAGCTGATCTGTCTGAGGCTGCTGCAGTGCAGACACCTGGTTCATCCCTCGCTATGATCCACGTCTTCTGTGAGCTCAGAAGGACGAGATGGAGAACGTTTGGAGGGGAGGTTGGCGCGTCTCCAGATGGAGGCAGAGGAAAAAGCCCAGGACAGGAGAAAGATCAGGAGGCGGGACATAGAGGCTGATATACAGCTGGAGGCCCAGAATCACGCCCCCCCCCCTGCCTCTGTCACACCAGGTTCCACCTCCATGTCTGCGATGCCATTCGATATTAGTAAGTGTATTTCGTTAGTGCCTGTTTCAGAGAATCTGAGGTTGAGTCATTCTTTGCAGCATTTGAGCGCGTTGCTGGGGACACCTGGCCTGTTTAGTGAAAATGCAAGTTTCCTGGTAAAGCTCAAGGTGTTGGCAGTGCTTCCTTTAAAAGATACGATCCGGTTAAAGCTGCTGTCTAACAAGCTTTTAAGTCGGTCCCAGAAGCATTTAGACAAAAGTTTTGACAGAAAAAGAAAACTTTTGGACAAACGTATGTTGAGTTTGGCAGACAGAAAGGCGTTCCCTTTAATAAGTGGAGCGCTGCTTCCAAGGTCAACCATGATGCTTTACGTCAGCTAATATTGTTAGACTTTAGGAAGTATATTCCAGATCGTTGGATTTAAATGAACAGACAGAGAACACTCCAGCTGCTGTTCTTGCAGATGAATATCTGCTGACTCATAAGTCGGCTTTCATTGTTAATAAGTTAACGTGTTAATGCTGAGCCAAAGACCCTTATGGTTAAAACCAGTTCCTAAAGCAAGCAGGGAAGGTTCCTATTGTCACAAACCTGGACATGGCTGATTGTTTAGGTCAGAGCGAATGAGATCACAGCATGCATACACAATGAGACCATTTTATTTATCTCATAAAGCTGCAGCACCAATCCATACTTTTTATATTACAGTTTTATTGGACTTGAGGATTGGAGTTGGAGGCTTAATGAGTTTCATCTGGTAGTGAATCTGTTGGCGCCTCCTACACAGCCCAGCTCTGCTCCTCTGTTTGTTTCATTCATTACTGCAGCTTTAGCTCCTCTCTCTCCTCATCAGCCTGAAACTGATATTAGTTCCTCCTTCCAACCATCCAGAGGATCCGGAATGTCAGACCAGATGTAAGCACATGTGTGTGGATCTCTTCGCTGTAGATCTTTGTGCTTCAGAGCGGGTTAGCTAAGGTTAGCCTTTCACTTTTTACCTTCAGACATCAAGCAGCATCAGAAGGTAGAGCTGCTGCTTCTGATCAGAGGATCACCCTCCTCCCCTTTTCTCCCTGAAAGATGATCCTCTAATAGAATCGCTTCTTCAGGCCCCAGATCCACCAGCAGGACCAGCAGATCAGGCCTGGGAGCTTCAGCAGGGGCGCCCCCCAGGGGTGGATGCCCTGCTGCTCGGCCCCCTCTATGGGTGACTCTGACTTGCAGAAAAACATTAAGCAGGGAGCAGAACAAAAACATTATTTTCATTTCAATTCTATTCAGTTTATTTCTATAGCTCCAATTCACATCATGTCATCTCAGGTCACTTTATAGATCCAGATCATCCAGTCAGATTGATTCAAAGTTTTCTATCTAAGGAAAACCAGCTGATTGCATCGACTCATTGACTCTTCAGCAATCCCTCACACTAAGCATGCTTGTAGCGACAGTGGAGAGGAAAAACTCCCTTTGAACAGGAAGAAACCTCCAGCAGAACCAGGCTCAGTGTGAGCGGCCATCTGCTGAGGCCCACTGGGGTTCAAGGAGACAGAAGCAGACATAGAAAAAGAAGCATAGATACAAAAGGCAACTGTCAACCAGCTCCACAGGCGGCCCCGTCCAGGAAACACGCAGCCAGGCAGACGAGCTCCGAGCCAGCTCCCATGTCAGAGGATGAAGAGAGCACATCCAGTTAGTCACAGTCAGAGAAACAGGACTACACTGGAAAACAGGCCAAGCTCCAGCATCTAGAAACAAAGGTGTTGATGGCAGCAGCACAGCTGATATTTCTCTCCAGGATGGAGTCACAGCCAAACAGGAACAGACCAGATGAAGCTACTATGAGAAAAAGCAGAGAGAGCAGAACGTTAGAGATTGAACTAACAGATTCTGCAGAGTGGGAGAATAGAGAGAGAATGAAGCAGAATGATGAAAAAGGGGTCCCTATGTCCTCCAGCAGTCTAAGCCTATAGCAGCAGAACTATAGAGATAGATGAAGCAGAATGATGAAAAAGGGGTCCCTATGTCCTCCAGCAGTCTAAGCCTATAGCAGCAGAACTATAGGGATAGCTCAGGATAACCTGAGCCACTCTAACTAGAAGCTTTATCAAAAAGGAAAGTTTTAAGCCTAGCCTTAAAAGTAGACAGGGTGTCTGCCTCACGGACTAAAACTGGTAGTTGGTTCCACAGGAGAGGAGCCTGAGAACTAAAAGATCTGCCTCCCATTCTACTTTTAGAAACTCTAGGAACCACTAGTAAACCTGCAGATTGAGAGCGAAGTGCTCTGTTAGGAACATAAGGAACAATCAGATCTCTGATATCAGATGGAGCTTGGCCATTTAAGGCTTTACATGTGAGAAGGAGGATTTTAAATTCTATTCTTGATTTAACAGGAAGCCAATGAAGAGAAGCCAGGATAGGAGAGATATGATCTCTCTTTTTAATTTTCATCAGAACTCTGGCTGCAGCATTTTGGATCAGCTGAAGGCTTTTAACTACAGTTTGTGGACTTCCTGATAGTAAAGAATTACAATAGTCCAGCCTTGAAGTAACAAATGCATGGACTAGTTTCTCAGCATCACCCCTGGACAGCAGATTGCTCATTTTTGCAATGTTCCTCAGATGAAAGAAGGAAATTCTAGAAACCTCTTTGATCTGGGATTTAAATGACAGGTCCTGATCAAAAATAACACCAAGATTTTTTACTTTATTATCTGAAATCAGTTTAATCCCATCCAAATGAAGTGACTGACTAATCAGCTTCTTTTTCAGAGACTCTGGTCCAAAGACTATAACTTCTGTTTTGTCTGCATTCAGAAGCAGAAAGTTAAGAGTCATCCAGGTTTTTATGTCTGTTTTGACTTTTTAATCATGTATGATGATAAAAGGTCAAACTAAATGTAGACTAAGAGCCGAGCTGGAGGAGAAAATATAAATCTATTCTCTGTTAAATTGTAATTTTTTTATTAATTCATTGCTGATTGATTTAATGAATTTAATGGAATCTAAAGCTAAACTCCTCAGTTTGGTCTCAGCTTCCATGTTTGTTCCTGTTTTTTTGGACAAGAACCTGTAGAGACCTGCAGCTAAAGAGGAGGAGGAGGAGGAAGAAGATGCTCCCGGACAGAAGAAAGCTGCAGAAAGAGGAGCAGATCCTCCACTAAGCTACTGTGAAGGAGAAAATGAACAAAGGTTCAAATCGGCTTTGGAGGATTAATCTGAGCTTCATAAGGAGGAGAAGGTAAACAACTGGAGGAGGACAGGGAGGCTCAGGACGTAAAAGCTCGTTCCTCCTGAGGAACAAAGAGCTGAAAGCAGCTGCTGAATGAAGGAAGGGAAAAAGATGAAGGCTTGGGGCCCCTGGGAGCCTCACTGAGGCTGATGGCGGGTCCATCTCATTAATGCAGCAGATCCTCCTCCTTCTCCCAGCGCCTCACCTCCTTCAGTCTGATCAGAACCTCCTGAGGGCCGCATCCACCTTCAGGTCTCCTGCCTCCTTCAGAACCTTCACAGCCAACAGATCCAGACCTGCTGCCATGTAGCAGAGTCACGCTGCCATCTAGTGGCCAACTCACTGAACTGCAGCATGGAGCTAAGCTCCCCGAACATTAGTGGCCGTCAGGTTCTGTCAGAACAACCCGGTCCACCTTTAACGCCTTGGTTCTGGAGCAGAGGTTCTGGAGCAGAGGTTCTGCAGCAGAGGTTCTGAAGCAGAGGTTCTGCAGCAGAGGTTCTGGAGCAGAGGTTCTGCAGCAGAGGTTCTGGAGCAGAGGTTCTGAAGCAGAGGTTCTGAAGCAGAGGTTCTGCAGCAGAGGTTCTGCAGCAGAGGTTCTGGAGCAGAGGTTCTGAAGCAGAGGTTCTGGAGCAGAGGTTCTGCAGCAGAGGTTCTGCAGCAGAGGTTCTGCAGCAGAGGTTCTGAAGCAGAGGTTCTGCAGCAGAGGTTCTGCAGCAGAGGTTCTGCAGCAGAGGTTCTGAAGCAGAGGTTCTGAAGCAGAGGTTCTGCAGCAGAGGTTCTGCAGCAGAGGTTCTGCAGCAGAGGTTCTGAAGCAGAGGTTCTGGAGCAGAGGTTCTGCAGCAGAGGTTCTGGAGCAGAGGTTCTGAAGCAGAGGTTCTGGAGCAGAGGTTCTGAAGCAGAGGTTCTGAAGCAGAGGTTCTGCAGCAGAGGTTCTGCAGCAGAGGTTCTGCAGCAGAGGTTCTGCAGCAGAGGTTCTGAAGCAGAGGTTCTGCAGCAGAGGTTCTGCAGCAGAGGTTCTGCAGCAGAGGTTCTGGAGCAGAGGTTCTGAAGCAGAGGTTCTGGAGCAGAGGTTCTGCAGCAGAGGTTCTGGAGCAGAGGTTCTGAAGCAGAGGTTCTGGAGCAGAGGTTCTGCAGCAGAGGTTCTGGAGCAGAGGTTCTGAAGCAGAGGTTCTGGAGCAGAGGTTCTGCAGCAGAGGTTCTGGAGCAGAGGTTCTGCAGCAGAGGTTCTGGAGCAGAGGTTCTGAAGCAGAGGTTCTGGAGCAGAGGTTCTGCAGCAGAGGTTCTGCAGCAGAGGTTCTGCAGCAGAGGTTCTGAAGCAGAGGTTCTGCAGCAGAGGTTCTGCAGCAGAGGTTCTGCAGCAGAGGTTCTGAAGCAGAGGTTCTGAAGCAGAGGTTCTGCAGCAGAGGTTCTGCAGCAGAGGTTCTGCAGCAGAGGTTCTGAAGCAGAGGTTCTGGAGCAGAGGTTCTGCAGCAGAGGTTCTGGAGCAGAGGTTCTGAAGCAGAGGTTCTGGAGCAGAGGTTCTGAAGCAGAGGTTCTGAAGCAGAGGTTCTGCAGCAGAGGTTCTGCAGCAGAGGTTCTGCAGCAGAGGTTCTGGAGCAGAGGTTCTGAAGCAGAGGTTCTGGAGCAGAGGTTCTGCAGCAGAGGTTCTGGAGCAGAGGTTCTGAAGCAGAGGTTCTGGAGCAGAGGTTCTGCAGCAGAGGTTCTGGAGCAGAGGTTCTGGAGCAGAGGTTCTGCAGCAGAGGTTCTGCAGCAGAGGTTCTGGAGCAGAGGTTCTGGAGCAGAGGTTCTGGAGCAGAGGTTCTGCAGCAGAGGTTCTGCAGCAGAGGTTCTGGAGCAGAGGTTCTGCAGCAGAGGTTCTGGAGCAGAGGTTCTGAAGCAGAGGTTCTGGAGCAGAGGTTCTGCAGCAGAGGTTCTGGAGCAGAGGTTCTGGAGCAGAGGTTCTGGAGCAGAGGTTCTGGAGCAGAGGTTCTGAAGCAGAGGTTCCACAGCAGAGGTTCTGGAGCAGAGGTTCTGCAGCAGAGGTTCTGGAGCAGAGGTTCTGAAGCAGAGGTTCCGGAGCAGAGGTTCTGGAGCAGAGGTTCTGGAGCAGAGGTTCTGCAGCAGAGGTTCTGAAGCAGAGGTTCTGCAGCAGAGGTTCTGAAGCAGAGGTTCTGCAGCAGAGGTTCTGGAGCAGAGGTTCTGGAGCAGAGGTTCTGCAGCAGAGGTTCTGGAGCAGAGGTTCTGCAGCTGAGGTTCTGAAGCAGAGGTTCTGGAGCAGAGGTTCTGGAGCAGAGGTTCTGCAGCAGAGGTTCTGGAGCAGAGGTTCTGGAGCAGAGGTTCTGCAGCAGAGGTTCTGGAGCAGAGGTTCTGGAGCAGAGGTTCTGCAGCAGAGGTTCTGGAGCAGAGGTTCTGGAGCAGAGGTTCTGCAGCAGAGGTTCTGAAGCAGAGGTTCTGAAGCAGAGGTTCTGGAGCAGAGGTTCTGGAGCAGAGGTTCTGCAGCAGAGGTTCTGGAGCAGAGGTTCTGGAGCAGAGGTTCTGCAGCAGAGGTTCTGGAGCAGAGGTTCTGGAGCAGAGGTTCTGCAGCAGAGGTTCTGGAGCAGAGGTTCTGGAGCAGAGGTTCTGCAGCAGAGGTTCTGGAGCAGAGGTTCTGGAGCAGAGGTTCTGCAGCAGAGGTTCTGAAGCAGAGGTTCTGAAGCAGAGGTTCTGGAGCAGAGGTTCTGGAGCAGAGGTTCTGGAGCAGAGGTTCTGCAGCAGAGGTTCTGGAGCAGAGGTTCTGGAGCAGAGGTTCTGAGCAGAGGTTCTGAAGCAGAGGTTCTGAAGCAGAGGTTCTGAAGCAGAGGTTCTGGAGCAGAGGTTCTGCAGCAGAGGTTCTGAAGCAGAGGTTCTGAAGCAGAGGTTCTGAAGGATACCAGATGTTCTATAAACCCAGCAGCTTCATCCTGCGGTTCTGCTTAGAGCTCCTTCAGACTAATGGCTGCCGGGTTCTGGAAGGATTTGGTTCTTCTGGAACCAGAACCTTCAGCTTCAGCAGCAGCTGCTGTGATTTCAGACTAAAAGCAGCAGAGAAGCTGAACACTGGAAGAGGTTCTGATCCGGTTCTCCTCCATGGAACCAGCTCAGAACTCTGCAGGGGAATCAGAGCAGCTTCCTCCTTGAAGAGAACGTGGAACTAACCCTTCTGATTGGACCACCACTGATGAAAGCAAAGGAAATGGGCCAGAAGAAGAAGAGGGAGAAGATTCTGAAAGGGACCCGACGTCCATTGTCCTCCAGAAACAACCAAAGGAACCATCAGGTTCTGTTTGGGTTCTGCAGATGTTAGCGGAGCGCTGCATCAAAGGAACCAGAGGACCTGAACCGGGTCGACCCGCTGGATCCACAGCATCCCGGGTCGCCCGTTTCCTGTCTGATCTGTGGTTCCAGTGGATTTCTCTGAAAGACGACAGGAGGCTGCGGATCAGAATCAAGTTTTATTGAAAGCTTCCAACAGAACTCCAAACAGGATCATCCCGTTCAGTCCTTCCAGCCGAGTCCCAGCGTCTCGGCGATGAAGGAGAAGATGTGCGTGTCCTCCAGGATGGCCTTCGCCGTGGGCTTTCCCGCTCCGTGTCCGCTGCGCGTGTCCACACGGACCATGAGTGGCTGCTGCTGCTGAGGGCTGCTGCCCACACCGTGCTGCAGGGCAGCGCAGAACTTCAGCGTGTGGAGGGGCACCACGCGGTCATCGTGGTCAGCCGTCAGCAGCAGCACCGCCGGGTACGGTGGGCCGGCGTACGGCGGCTCAGGCAGGTTGTGGAGAGGAGAGTACCTGGAGACAAGGAGGGCGGTGGATAAAGGTCAGAGCAGGAACCATCAGCATCACAGGAAACTGAACTCTGCAGGGGACTTTAAAGTGTGACTCACCCCACAACAGAAAACATAAAAGCACTAGAAAGTGGATCTATGGATGACTAGTTTAATGTTTCCTCAGTGCTGCCCTCTATATCTGTCTATAATCCAGATGAAGCTGGATTATAATCCATAGATTACAGACTTTCTGCTTCTGAACGCAGACAAAACAGAAGTTCTAGTCTTTGGACCGGAGTCTCTGAAAAAGAAGCTGATTAGTCAGTCACTTCATCTGGATTAAACTGGTTTCTGATAATAAAGCCTTAAATGGCCAAGCTCCATCTGATATCAGAGATCTGATTGTTCCTTATGTTCCTAACAGAGCACTTCGCTCTCAATCTGCAGGTTTACTAGTGGTTCCTAGAATTTCTAAAAGTAGAATGGGAGGCAGATCTTTTAGTTCTCAGGCTCCTCTCCTGTGGAACCAACTACCAGTTTTAGTCCGTGAGGCAGACACCCTGTCTACTTTTAAGGCTAGGCTTAAAACTTTCCTTTTTGATAAAGCTTCTAGTTAGAGTGGCTCAGGTTATCCTGATCTATCTCTATAGTTCTGCTGCTATAGGCTTAGACTGCTGGAGGACATAGGGACCCCTTTTTCATCATTCTGCTTCATTCTATCTCTATAGTTCTGCAGCTGCTGTGAATTGGAGTATAGAAATGAATTGAATTGAAAAGCGGTTCTGATAGAGCCGGTTGCTGCAGAGTGGTTTCTGTACTTGATCAGCCACTGGAACTGTTGGGGGTCGTCAGAGCAGCCGTAGTCGGTGGTCCAGGCGTGGCCGATGGTGAACTTGTGGAACTTCAACATGTCCATGACTCCCACCTCGGCAACCACGCAGCCTAACAGCTCCGGGCGCTGGATCATGCAGGCCGCTGGGAACAGAACCGCCATCATTTAATCCAAACACAGACGGGTCATTCTCCAGAACCTCCTGTAGAACCCCGGACTCACCGACCAACAGGCCTCCGTTAGAACCGCCGTTGATGGCGATGCGGCTGGCGGCGGTGTACTGCTCCTGGATCAGGAACTCGGCGGCGCTCTGGAAGTCATCGAAGCAGTTCTGCTTCTTCCCTAACGTTCCGGCTGCAGACAGGGAAGATGATCAGAGCGGGTCACCATGGTCGACCCGGTTCTGTGACGGCACCGGTACCTTTATGCCAGGTGAGGCCGTACTCTCCCCCTCCTCGGATGTTGGCCACGGCCAGGACCCCCCCCAGGTGTCGCACAAACAGCAGGTAGGCCACACTGCATCAGGAAACAGAACTCAGAACCTGGTTCTGTTGGAACCAAACCAGCAGCTGATCCGGATCCAATGGGAACCAGCGTTCTATAAACAGAACCGGATCGGAACCGGCTGCAGTCACTCACTTGTAGTAAGGCTGGATGGACGCCTCAAAGCCTCCGTATCCGTACAGGAAGACCGGGTTGGTTCCGTCCCGCTTCAGGTCCTTGGAGTGAACCAGGAACATGGGAACCCTGGTTCCGTCTTTACTGGGATAGAAAACCTGAGAACCGGACCAGAACCGGACAGGACGAGATCAGACTAGTAGAACAACTCTATTGGCTCCGATTGGAGCAGAAAGAGACAGAACCAGAGGAAAGTTCTGAGGCCCAGAATACATCTGGTTCTGCTCAAAACTCCAACAGAACCCGAAGGAGGAGAACCTTTAGTCCGGCCTAAACGTCTGGTCCAGTTTTTATTAGAACCTGAACAGAACCTCAGGTTCCATCTTTATATCTAATTATGAAGACATGAACCCGTCGGAACAAACCGAACCGGGCCATCCGTCCAGAACCTTCCTCACAGACTTTGTCATTCCAGTTCTGTGGAGTCTGTAGTTTTCTCCTCCAGGTGGCGCCGTTCCCTCACTGATCACCCAACAGAACATCAAACCTCTGGAGGAACTGGACTTTCTGAGGATCAGAACCAAACAGGCCTTTGGGTCGTCCGGTACCGAAGTCCAGCCGGTCCCCCAGGCCGGGGGAGAAGAGGGAACATCTAAAGTTCTGCAGAGGAAACCAGACCTGAGGCCTCCTGGTTCTGACCCACCCACAGCAGAAGATCCTGGTCTTCAGAGAAGAACCTTCAGTTTAGGAGACGTTTCATGGCCCAAAGCCAGCAGAACCATCTGGATGGTTCCAACAGATCGGACTTTCAGCTGCAGAGCAGGTTCCAGAGTTCTCCTCAGCTGGTTCTGACCCGACTAGTGCTGCAACTAAGGATTAATAATCTGATAGTCTAAGGTTCCTTAACGTGTATTTTTACAGAATTAAACCAGATGAAACTAAACTAAGTTCTGGATTATCAAGCGGACGGACGGACGGACGTTTTTATCTCTAATGCAAAATGTTATATATTTATTTATTATCTTGGTATAATTCCTGCTGTCAGATAAAGGCAGGTTTCACAGTCTCTTCACAGAACAAAGTCCTCTTCACAGGAACCCTCAGAGCGGGAACCCTCAGAGCGGGAACCCTCAGAGCGGGAACCCTCAGAACGGGAACCCTCAGAGCGGGAACCCTCAGAACGGGAACCCTCAGAGCGGGAACCTTCAGAGCGGGAACGCTCAGAGCGAGAACCTAAAGAGCGGGACCCTGAGAGGACTCACCTGGCTGGTCCGGAAGTCCTCCTGGTCGATGCCTTTGACCTCCACCTCCCTGAAGACCCGGGGCTCCGGGTTGGAGGTGCTCAGGTCGCAGTGGTAGATGATTCCTGGAACACAGAAGCTGATGATACTGCGTCCTGCTGCTGTAGCGCCCATTAGGAGAAATGAGGCGGGTTACCTGGAGTGGTGAAGGAGGTGAACTTGTAGAAGAACTCGGAGTGCTTCTTCTTGCAGCTGACTCCAGCAATGGTCCCCACGTCCAGGGGCAGGTCCCTGATGAGCTGACCGCTGCTCAGATCAAACAGCTGCAGGATGTCCTTCACGTCATGGACGTAGTTGACCAGCAGATGGTGCTGGTTCACACAGGAGACGAACCCTGCAGCAGACAGAGGAGAACGGTAACCATAGAAACAGAGGAAGGTCAGCAATGAAGACGGCAGAAGAACAATGTAGTAACTTCTGGGTTATCTCCTAGTTCTTCTGGGGGGGGGTCTCACCAAGAACATCCTTGTCGTGCTGCGGGATCAACGTGCTCCAGTTCTGTCTGTCCGGGTTCTGGATGTCGATGTTGATGAGGCGGTACCGCGGGGCGTCCAGGTTGGAGCGAAAGGTGAACAGGCTCCCCTCATTGGTCACATAGGAGTACTGAGCCTCAAAGCTGTCGACCAGCCGGACCCACGGCAGCAGCCCTGCAGGAGGGACCAGAACCAGAACCACACGTCACTGCAGGCCCATAGGAACCAGAACCACATGTTACTGCGGGCCCAGAGGAACCAGAACCAGATGTTACTGCGGGCCCATAGGAACCAGAACCAGATGTTACTGCGGGCCCAGAGGAACCAGAACCAGATGTTACTGCGGGCCCAGAGGAACCAGAACCACATGTTACTGCGGGCCCAGAGGAACCAGAACCAGATGTTACTGCGGGCCCATAGGAACCAGAACCAGATGTTACTGCGGGCCCATAGGAACCAGAACCACATGTTACTGCGGGCCCAGAGGAACCAGAACCACATGTTACTGCGGGCCCAGAGGAACCAGAACCAGATGTTACTGCGGGCCCATAGGAACCAGAACCAGATGTTACTGCGGGCCCAGAGGAACCAGAACCAGATGTTACTGCGGGCCCAGAGGAACCAGAACCACATGTTACTGCGGGCCCATAGGAACCAGAACCACATGTTACTGCGGGCCCAGAGGAACCAGAACCAGATGTTACTGCGGGCCCAGAGGAACCAGAACCAGATGTTACTGCGGGCCCAGAGGAACCAGAACCACATGTTACTGCGGGCCCAGAGGAACCAGAACCAGATGTTACTGCGGGCCCATAGGAACCAGAACCAGATGTTACTGCGGGCCCATAGGAACCAGAACCACATGTTACTGCGGGCCCAGAGGAACCAGAACCACATGTTACTGCGGGCCCAGAGGAACCAGAACCAGATGTTACTGCGGGCCCATAGGAACCAGAACCAGATGTTACTGCGGGCCCATAGGAACCAGAACCAGATGTTACTGCGGGCCCAGAGGAACCAGAACCAGATGTTACTGCGGGCCCAGAGGAACCAGAACCAGATGTTACTGCGGGCCCAGAGGAACCAGAACCACATGTTACTGCGGGCCCAGAGGAACCAGAACCAGATGTTACTGCGGGCCCATAGGAACCAGAACCAGATGTTACTGCGGGCCCATAGGAACCAGAACCACATGTTACTGCGGGCCCAGAGGAACCAGAACCAGATGTTACTGCGGGCCCATAGGAACCAGAACCAGATGTTACTGCGGGCCCAGAGGAACCAGAACCAGATGTTACTGCGGGCCCATAGGAACCAGAACCAGATGTTACTGCGGGCCCATAGGAACCAGAACCACATGTTACTGCGGGCCCAGAGGAACCAGAACCAGATGTTACTGCGGGCCCAGAGGAACCAGAACCAGATGTTACTGCGGGCCCATAGGAACCAGAACCAGATGTTACTGCGGGCCCAGAGGAACCAGAACCAGATGTTACTGCGGGCCCAGAGGAACCAGAACCAGATGTTACTGCGGGCCCATAGGAACCAGAACCAGATGTTACTGCGGGCCCAGAGGAACCAGAACCAGATGTTACTGCGGGCCCAGAGGAACCAGAACCAGATGTTACTGCGGGCCCAGAGGAACCAGAACCAGATGTTACTGCGGGCCCAGAGGAACCAGAACCAGATGTTACTGCGGGCCCAGAGGAACCAGAACCAGATGTTACTGCGGGCCCATAGGAACCAGAACCAGATGTTACTGCGGGCCCAGAGGAACCAGAACCAGATGTTACTGCGGGCCCATAGGAACCAGAACCAGATGTTACTGCGGGCCCAGAGGAACCAGAACCAGATGTTACTGCGGGCCCAGAAGAACCAGAACCACACGTCACTGCAGGCCCATAGGAACCAGAACCACACGTCACTGCAGGCCCATAGGAACCAGAACCACACGTCACTGCGGGCCCATAGGAACCAGAACCACACGTCACTGCAGGCCCATAGGAACCAGAACCACATGTTACTGCGGGCCCAGAGGAACCAGAACCAGATGTTACTGCGGGCCCATAGGAACCAGAACCAGATGTTACTGCGGGCCCATAGGAACCAGAACCACATGTTACTGCGGGCCCATAGGAACCAGAACCACATGTTACTGCGGGCCCATAGGAACCAGAACCACATGTTACTGCGGGCCCAGAGGAACCAGAACCAGATGTTACTGCGGGCCCATAGGAACCAGAACCACATGTTACTGCGGGCCCAGAGGAACCAGAACCAGATGTTACTGCGGGCCCAGAGGAACCAGAACCAGATGTTACTGCGGGCCCAGAGGAACCAGAACCACATGTTACTGCGGGCCCATAGGAACCAGAACCACACGTCACTGCAGGCCCATAGGAACCAGAACCAGATGTTACTGCGGGCCCAGAGGAACCAGAACCACATGTTACTGCGGGCCCAGAGGAACCAGAACCAGATGTTACTGCGGGCCCAGAGGAACCAGAACCAGATGTTACTGCGGGCCCATAGGAACCAGAACCAGATGTTACTGCGGGCCCAGAGGAACCAGAACCAGATGTTACTGCGGGCCCATAGGAACCAGAACCAGATGTTACTGCGGGCCCATAGGAACCAGAACCAGATGTTACTGCGGGCCCAGAGGAACCAGAACCAGATGTTACTGCGGGCCCAGAGGAACCAGAACCAGATGTTACTGCGGGCCCATAGGAACCAGAACCAGATGTTACTGCGGGCCCAGAGGAACCAGAACCAGATGTTACTGCGGGCCCATAGGAACCAGAACCACATGTTACTGCGGGCCCAGAGGAACCAGAACCACATGTTACTGCGGGCCCAGAGGAACCAGAACCAAATGTTACTGCGGGCCCAGAGGAACCAGAACCAGATGTTACTGGGGGCCCAGAGGAACCAGAACCAGATGTTACTGCGGGCCCAGAGGAACCAGAACCAGATGTTACTGCAGGCCCATAGGAACCAGAACCACATGTTACTGCGGGCCCAGAGGAACCAGAACCACATGTTACTGCGGGCCCATAGGAACCAGAACCAGATGTTACTGCGGGCCCAGAGGAACCAGAAGCAGATGTTACTGCGGGCCCAGAGGAACCAGAAGCAGATGTTACTGCGGGCCCAGAGGAACCAGAACCAGATGTTACTGCGGGCCCAGAGGAACCAGAACCAGATGTTACTGGGAGCCCAGAGGAACCAGAACCAGATGTTACTGCGGGCCCAGAGGAACCAGAACCAGATGTTACTGCGGGCCCATAGGAACCAGAACCACATGTTACTGCGGGCCCAGAGGAACCAGAACCACATGTTACTGCGGGCCCAGAGGAACCAGAACCAGATGTTACTGCGGGCCCATAGGAACCAGAACCAGATGTTACTGCGGGCCCATAGGAACCAGAACCAGATGTTACTGCGGGCCCAGAGGAACCAGAACCAGATGTTACTGCGGGCCCAGAGGAACCAGAACCAGATGTTACTGCGGGCCCATAGGAACCAGAACCAGATGTTACTGCGGGCCCAGAGGAACCAGAACCAGATGTTACTGCGGGCCCATAGGAACCAGAACCAGATGTTACTGCGGGCCCAGAGGAACCAGAACCAGATGTTACTGCGGGCCCAGAAGAACCAGAACCACACGTCACTGCAGGCCCATAGGAACCAGAACCACACGTCACTGCAGGCCCATAGGAACCAGAACCACACGTCACTGCGGGCCCATAGGAACCAGAACCACACGTCACTGCAGGCCCATAGGAACCAGAACCACATGTTACTGCGGGCCCAGAGGAACCAGAACCAGATGTTACTGCGGGCCCATAGGAACCAGAACCAGATGTTACTGCGGGCCCATAGGAACCAGAACCACATGTTACTGCGGGCCCATAGGAACCAGAACCACATGTTACTGCGGGCCCAGAGGAACCAGAACCAGATGTTACTGCGGGCCCATAGGAACCAGAACCACATGTTACTGCGGGCCCATAGGAACCAGAACCAGATGTTACTGAGGGCCCAGAGGAACCAGAACCAGATGTTACTGCGGGCCCAGAGGAACCAGAACCAGATGTTACTGCGGGCCCATAGGAACCAGAACCACATGTTACTGCGGGCCCATAGGAACCAGAACCACATGTTACTGAGGGCCCAGAGGAACCAGAACCAGATGTTACTGCGGGCCCAGAGGAACCAGAACCAGATGTTACTGCGGGCCCATAGGAACCAGAACCACATGTTACTGCGGGCCCATAGGAACCAGAACCAGATGTTACTGCGGGCCCAGAGGAACCAGAACCAGATGTTACTGCGGGCCCAGAGGAACCAGAACCACATGTTACTGCGGGCCCAGAGGAACCAGAACCAGATGTTACTGCGGGCCCATAGGAACCAGAACCACACGTCACTGCAGGCCCATAGGAACCAGAACCACATGTTACTGCGGGCCCAGAGGAACCAGAACCAGATGTTACTGCGGGCCCATAGGAACCAGAACCAGATGTTACTGCGGGCCCATAGGAACCAGAACCAGATGTTACTGCGGGCCCAGAGGAACCAGAACCAGATGTTACTGCGGGCCCAGAGGAACCAGAACCAGATGTTACTGCGGGCCCAGAGGAACCAGAACCACATGTTACTGCGGGCCCAGAGGAACCAGAACCAGATGTTACTGCGGGCCCAGAGGAACCAGAACCAGATGTTACTGCGGGCCCATAGGAACCAGAACCACATGTTACTGCGGGCCCAGAGGAACCAGAACCAGATGTTACTGCGGGCCCATAGGAACCAGAACCAGATGTTACTGCGGGCCCAGAGGAACCAGAACCAGATGTTACTGCGGGCCCATAGGAACCAGAACCAGATGTTACTGCGGGCCCATAGGAACCAGAACCACATGTTACTGCGGGCCCAGAGGAACCAGAACCAGATGTTACTGCGGGCCCAGAGGAACCAGAACCAGATGTTACTGCGGGCCCATAGGAACCAGAACCAGATGTTACTGCGGGCCCAGAGGAACCAGAACCAGATGTTACTGCGGGCCCAGAGGAACCAGAACCAGATGTTACTGCGGGCCCAGAGGAACCAGAACCAGATGTTACTGCGGGCCCAGAGGAACCAGAACCAGATGTTACTGCGGGCCCATAGGAACCAGAACCAGATGTTACTGCGGGCCCAGAGGAACCAGAACCAGATGTTACTGCGGGCCCATAGGAACCAGAACCAGATGTTACTGCAGGCCCAGAGGAACCAGAACCAGATGTTACTGCGGGCCCAGAGGAACCAGAACCACACGTCACTGCAGGCCCATAGGAACCAGAACCACACGTCACTGCAGGCCCATAGGAACCAGAACCACACGTCACTGCGGGCCCATAGGAACCAGAACCACACGTCACTGCAGGCCCATAGGAACCAGAACCACATGTTACTGCGGGCCCAGAGGAACCAGAACCAGATGTTACTGCGGGCCCATAGGAACCAGAACCAGATGTTACTGCGGGCCCATAGGAACCAGAACCACATGTTACTGCGGGCCCAGAGGAACCAGAACCAGATGTTACTGCGGGCCCATAGGAACCAGAACCACATGTTACTGCGGGCCCAGAGGAACCAGAACCAGATGTTACTGCGGGCCCAGAGGAACCAGAACCAGATGTTACTGCGGGCCCAGAGGAACCAGAACCAGATGTTACTGCGGGCCCATAGGAACCAGAACCAGATGTTACTGCGGGCCCAGAGGAACCAGAACCAGATGTTACTGCGGGCCCATAGGAACCAGAACCAGATGTTACTGCGGGCCCAGAGGAACCAGAACCAGATGTTACTGCGGGCCCAGAGGAACCAGAACCAGATGTTACTGCGGGCCCATAGGAACCAGAACCAGATGTTACTGCGGGCCCAGAGGAACCAGAACCAGATGTTACTGCGGGCCCATAGGAACCAGAACCACATGTTACTGCGGGCCCAGAGGAACCAGAACCACATGTTACTGCGGGCCCAGAGGAACCAGAACCAAATGTTACTGCGGGCCCAGAGGAACCAGAACCAGATGTTACTGGGGGCCCAGAGGAACCAGAACCAGATGTTACTGCGGGCCCAGAGGAACCAGAACCAGATGTTACTGCAGGCCCATAGGAACCAGAACCACATGTTACTGCGGGCCCAGAGGAACCAGAACCACATGTTACTGCGGGCCCATAGGAACCAGAACCAGATGTTACTGCGGGCCCAGAGGAACCAGAAGCAGATGTTACTGCGGGCCCAGAGGAACCAGAAGCAGATGTTACTGCGGGCCCAGAGGAACCAGAACCAGATGTTACTGCGGGCCCAGAGGAACCAGAACCAGATGTTACTGGGAGCCCAGAGGAACCAGAACCAGATGTTACTGCGGGCCCAGAGGAACCAGAACCAGATGTTACTGCGGGCCCAGAGGAACCAGAACCACATTGCACCCAGGAAGTGTTGACACCCGGTCTGAGAAGTTCTCACAAAAACAGAAACCACAGAGTTCTGAAATCTGCCTCTTCCTTTTTTCTCTCTCTCCCCTTAGTTCTCATCCCTTGTTCTTCCTCTCCTCCCTTTTGTCTCCATTGTTAACGACATTACTCCCTAAATCATTTTTAATAAAGTTTAGTGTACAAGAACCAAGCAGGACCTTCTGGCAGCAGTCATAATGCTCTGCCTGAGAAAGCAAAGCCATTGGGTACCAGCTAGCTCTGGGACATAAGATCCACATTAGCTAAGCTACCAGCTAGCTCTGGGACATCAGAGCCACATTAGCTAAGCTACCAGCTAGCTCTGGGACATCAGAGCCATATTAGCTAAGCTACCACCTAGCTCTGGGACATAAGATCCACATTAGCTAAGCTACCAGCTAGCTCTGGGACATAAGATCCACATTAGCTAAGCTACCAGCTAGCTCTGGGACATCAGAGCCACATTAGCTAAGCTACCAGCTAGCTCTGGGACATAAGATCCACATTAGCTAAGCTACCACCTAGCTCTGGGACATAAAATCCACATTAGCTAAGCTACCAGCTAGCTCTGGGACATCAGAGCCACATTAGCTAAACTACCAGCTAGCTCTGGGACATAAGATCCACATTAGCTAAGCTACCAGCTAGCTCTCGGACACCAGATCCACATTAGCTAAGCTACCACCTAGCTCTGAGACATCAGAGCCATATTAGCTAAGCTACCAGCTAGCTCTGGGACATCAGAGCCACATTAGCTAAGCTACCAGCTAGCTCTGGGACATCAGAGACATATTAGCTAAGCTACCAGCTAGCTCTGGGACATAAGATCCACATTAGCTAAGCTACCAGCTAGCTCTGGGACATCAGAGCCATATTAGCTAAGCTACCAGCTAGCTCTGGGACATCAGAGCCACATTAGCTAAGCTACCAGCTAGATCTGGGACATCAGAGCCACATTAGCTAAGCTACCGGCTAGCTCTGGGACATCAGAGCCATATTAGCTAAGCTACTAGTTAGCTCTGGGACATAAGATCCACATCAGCTA